GAGCCTCTGCTTTCTTCTTCTATCCTCCATGATTGGATGAAGCAATGATCTCTTCTCTGCTCTAGACCCACCTGATGCCAAGTCATGTTTTAATGCAGAGCAGACCACAGACATGGATCCAAAACACTGGAATAAGCAGGAAGAAGTTGACCCACAGTCTGTGTTTCAGCACCATGGACAGATCCAGCACTTCCTGAACTGAACATCAGCTGGAAACTCTGCCTCATTTATTTCAGTCTTTGTTAAATCCAGGAATGGTTTCACTTCATCAGAGTCCAAAAAGGTCTCCAGTGCTGCTAAAGCTGACATGAACTGTGACTCCATTCACTGCCAGGGCTTTGATCACGCTCTATAATGGAGGAAAAACTCACCTGGAGGACAAGATTGACAGAATAAACATAGCTGTTATTTTATTTCTATCATTTCTAGCTTTCTGAATGGAACCGGTTGGTTCTGGTTCTTCTTCATGTGTATTTATGCCGCTGCTCCTCCCTCAGATATTTATAAACTATAAATAAATATACATAATCCTGTTTTTACAATGTTTCTAAATGTCTTTTTAGTTGTTTTTCCACCAGCTGAAAATAATTTTACAGATAGTATTCTCAGGCATAATACTGCCATCTATTGTTCAGTACCGTCTCAGTTCATCTCTCTCAACTTGCCGTAGTTACTTTCGAGCGTAATGGGCGATCTCGCAATCGCTAGTTTGTTGGCTCTGCGCTGCCGTAGCGCAAAGATGTCAGCCTCCATGGCTGCGAGACCCGCTCCTATGTAATTATAAATAACGAATTCTAAGGCAACGCAAATATTAAGGTTAAGAGGCTGAGCTCGTAGATGATGATAAATAACATAGTTATGTATAATATATTACATTTCTGACTGTATATCCCTGGAATTATTACACACTGTAGCTTTAAAGCTCATTTTCATTATGGCCTGTTGGTATTTAAAAAACATAAAAACCATCAGAATAAGTAGTTTCATCCAGACAATAAATTTCTTTGTGTTTGATATTTATAAACTATAAATAAATATACATAATCCTGTTTTTACAATGTTTCTGAATGTCTTTTTATTTTATTTTTTCCACCAGCTGAATATAAATTAAAATAAATGTTTTAATTGATAAATTAATAGACCTTTTTGCAGATATTTCCATGTATTTAATGACTGCAGAGAAAACCCAGCTGATCAGAACCAGAACTGCTGACAGTGTTGGACCTTCCTAGTTTAAGATGTAGAGATGAAGAAAGGATCCAGTTCTGGTTCTGATGATGAATCTGTTTAGAATCAGGTGAAGATGTTCTGGTCTGACCATCTGCTTGTGGAGTGAATCCAGAGCAGAAGATCCAACCTAACAAGAAGCTGTGGAGCAGTGGGACCAGCATCAGAACCAGCTGTAGAACCAGCTCTGCTTGGACCTCTGGGTTCTGAAGCTGATGCTTTGGAGAAAATGAGGATCTGGAAGAGAAATGTTCAGTCGTCACGTGGAAGATGTCATGGAATTAGATGCTGGATAGCTCAGAGAGGAAAGGAGGTGGGAGGGAGTTCAGAGGGTCTGGAGTTCAATTCCTCAGGGAGACCAGAAGGATTTCTTTAATAATATAAACATATTTCAAGAACAGTTAATGTTCACATCAGCAATCTTATCAATGAAGGTCCTGACTCTGATTCCTGCTGAAAGTCTTTATCCAGACATGAAGGAGATGAATGTGTTGCAAGAACAGATCAAAGTGTGGAGGGTCTAGTGGTGCAGAGGTCCAGTTAACCAGACCTGGATCAGAAGGTTATAGGATCAAATCCTGCTGATACTTATTGGATTTTAGCCACCATTATTATCAAGGTTAATATAGAAATTCAGAGGTTAGATCAGAGAACAGGCTAAAGTATATATTGTCTATATTTTCAGCACCTGTAAAAGTGAAAACACACAGGATTGCATATTTTACAAAATAAGTCTCATTTTATGCAATTCTGGGTTTCTAATCTAAGGTAGATCAGAGCTTTTAAAGAGAAAGATTCTTCATCTGCCTCGTAGCTCAGATGGAATAGATGCTGGTTTAGAGTCCAATGGATCCTGAGTTCAAGTCCTGGTTCATCTCTGGAGTCTCATAGATTATAACACCTAGAAGCACTATACATGTTACATCTAGATTTATTGGTTTTCAAAGAGAGAAATGAAACCAAAAAGATAAATACGCTACAAAAAGATGAGCTTCGTGTGATAGAGCATGTGGTGTGATTGTTTAACCGCTGGTCCTCAAACTAGAAGCTCATGAGTTCAAATCCCTCAGAAGTTGATCTTCTGTTTTTCCAACGACTGTAGAAGAAGAAACAAAAAGATAAATGCGCCCGGAGAAAAATCCAAATGTCCACAAGTGTGGCATGGATGATAAAGCCTTCACTCTAAAACTAGAAGCTCATGGGTTCAAATCCCACAGAAATTTATATTATCTTTTTCCAACAACTGTAGAAGAAACAAAAAGATAAATGCGCCCGGAGAAAAGTCCAAAGTGTGACAGGCGTCATAGCAGAGTGGGATTGTCTGCGACCGTAAGGCGCCAGTGGTGCAGAGTCTGAGTTCAATTCCATCTGTGGTTGATGTAGCCTGGAACTACCCACTGTGGTGGGTCAGGGAGGGGGCCGTGTCCCCTCCCTGACTTCCACAGCAACACCTGGAGGAGGTTATACATCAGGAAACAAGGACTGACTGGAAATTTTAATGACAGTCAGAAAAATACTAAAGTTATGTAAAATACTAACAGTAGTTTTTAACAAAACTTGAAAATGAACCACTTGCATTATACTACATTACTTATGACCAATAATTAGTTACATTAAGATTTCTATTTGTACTCAAGTTGTCAAAAGTATAACACTTGTTTGTTGTATCTGGGTTACATCTGTTAGTATTTTAGAAACATAACCTTCGATTTAACTCATGTAACTGGAGGCAGTAAAGGTTACATGTCTAAAACACCAACAACTGTAGTCTAATGAACTAAATCACTTCAAGATTTCGATTGTTGTCTAATCTTCTTATCTATATAATAAAGATGAGTTAAATCTGTTCTTAAGTAAACTACTGTTAGTATTTTAGAAACATAACTTTAGTATTTTTCTGACTGTCATTAAAATTTCCAGTCAGTCCTTGTTTCCTGATGTATAACCTCCTCCAGGTGTTGCTGTGGAAGTCAGGGAGGGGACACGGCCCCCTCCCTGACCCACCACAGTGGGTAGTTCCAGGCTACATCAACCACAGATGGAATTGAACTCAGACTCTGCACCACTGGCGCCTTACGGTCGCAGACAATCCCACTCTGCTATGACACCTGTCACACTTTGGACTTTTCTCCGGGCGCATTTATCTTTTTGTTTCTACTTCTGCAGTCGTTAGAAAAAGACAGCAGTGGGATTTGAACCCATGAGTTTCTAGTTTTAGAGTGAAGGCTTTAACATCCATGCCACACTTGTGGACATTGAGATTTTTCTCCGGGCGCATTTATCTTTTTGTTTCTTCTTCTACAGTCGTTAGAAAAACAGAAGATCAACTTCTGAGGGATTTGAACTCATGAGCTTCTAGTTTATGGACCAGCGGTTTAACAATCACACCACATGCTCTGTCTCACTAAGCTCATCTTTTTGTAGTGTATTTATCTTTTTGGTTTCATTTCTCTTTGAAAACCAATAAATCTAGATGTAACATGTATAGTGCTTCTAGGTGTTATAATCTATGAGACTCCAGAGATGAACCAGGAGTTGAACTCAGGATCCTTTGGACTCTAAACCAGCATCTATTCCATCTGAGCTACGAGGCAGATGAAGAATCTTTCTCTTTAAAAGCTCTGATCTACCTTAGATTAGAAACCCAGAATTGCATAAAATCTTCACGTAACCCGGTTTTAAATGTAGACACCTGTCACACTTTGGACTTTTCTCTGGGCAGATTTGTCTTTTTGTTTTAGTTGTTGGAAAAACAAGATGAATTTCTAGAGGATTTGAACCCCTGAGCTGTCACACCTTGGAGTTTTCTCCGGGCGCGTTTATCATATGTATTTCTATGTGACTGTCACGGTCTGGGTTCTGTTGAAGTTTTCAGTTTCACTTTGATCCATGTTTTCCAGTTTTATTGGTTTAATTCCTATTTTCTGGTGTTTCTGGATGTATTTGAGTTCTTAGGTATTTCTTGGTGTTGGTCTCCTTTTCTCTAGCTCCCTTCTAGACTCCTCAGTTCACACCTGCTCCCAATCTGTTCCTCAGTGCTACTTCCTCGTCTTTTTCTGGCTCCCCATGTGAGTAGTAGTCTGATTTGACTTGTTCTGCAGTTCCACTGCAGGTTTTATCTTTCAGTGATTTAAAATACATCATAAATACATCATCTCTCCTGCTGGGGTCGTAATAAATTTGAAACAGGTGGTTAAAAATCTGGGAAAAGGAAACATTTTTTATTCATATTTGAATGAGCTTTGAACATCTGGGAGAACTTCCAGAACATCTGGAGAGGGAACAAAGTAAAATACTAAGGATTCGTTTCTAAAACAATAACAGCAGTTTGGTAACAAAACCTTGCATATAAAAAAAAAATACATAACTTACATACTAAATACAATTTCTGATAAAAGCCAATAAGAGATGTAACCCATCCTTATGACATAAATGCTTTTGACAACTTAAAGGAAAAGTTCAGTCAGCACTTTCCAAGCTAAATCAATGGGAACTACTAGACACATCTGCAATCAACAACAATTATTAACAAACATGGATGCCTCCACTAAAGCACATTCACATGAAAATTACTCTGAATTAAAAACACTGATCATTTATTGAACAGGATGGAATAATCTCATAAATTAAAGGACTTTCAGAAGTTTAAATTCTGACTTTTCCTTTAAGGGAATATAAAAGAAAATCTAGTTGAAGAAAAGAGTGAAAATCAAACTGTTATATTCTGCATAGTTTGATGTAAAATAGGAATTTTCTTCAAATTATTCCAGTTGGAGATCAAATTGGTGTCATTTTACTAAGAAGGAAAATCAGAACAACTCAGATTATAAATAAATGGAACGCTGATGTTTTCCTTTGCATCAAACATAAAATGAAAAACTGAGATCAACCTTAAACTAAATCTAAACATAGAGCATCACTGGAGTCCTCTCTCTCCCTCCGTCGTTCTCCAGGTCGTCCTAATAAACACAGAGGTCAGGAAACTTCATCTCATAGATGGGCGTTGATCGACGGGACGTTTGCCCGGATGGAGACGGAGGAGGACGAACAATCAGGTCAAAAACCTGATCTAGTTTGGACTGAAGCAGTGAGGTCTGAGGATGAAGACAAAACGTCTGTCAGGGGGACAGTTTGACAGGTTTTCCTATCCAGAGACAGAGGCTGGAGTTCAGTCTCACCCTGGATCCACATAGAGCTGCTATTTCTTCAAAAGGAGCCGTCTGAAACCTCTCCACCACCTGCATCCTCCTCCTCCTATCCTCCTCCTCCACCAGTCCCTGATCATCTAGAAGGAAAAAGACGTTTTTAAGAAACCGAAAACAACAACGTGCATGTCATGATGAGATGTTTTACCGATGGTGTTCTTCAGAGTCTCAAAGGTGATCTGCTCCGTCTGAGGTTTCTAAGGAGCACAAAGGGAAGCGTTAGGAGACGTGCAGATGAAGGGTTAAACTCAGGCGGACGGAAACGAACCTGAGCTTCAGAACTGGACTCATGGTCGATGGCTATCTGGAGAGAGATGGTGTCTGCAATGCTGATCTTCCTGGACAGACGGTCTTCATCTGGAACAGAAGCAAAGGCCATCCGTTAGTTTTACGACTCTTTCAGAAAGCTTTGGTGGTACAAATTTTAAGGCTAGGCTTAAAACTTAAGCCTAGGCTAGAGCGGCTCAGGTTATCCTGAGCTATCTCTATAGTTCTGCTGCTATAGGCTTAGACTGCTGGAGGACATAGGGACCCCTTTTTCATCATTCTATCTCTATTCTCCCACTCTGCAGAATCTGTTAGTTCAATATCTAAAGCCTTTGTTTCTAGATGCAGGGGCGTGGCCTGTTATTCAGTGTAGTCCTGTTTCTCTAACTGGACATGCTCTCTTTCATCCTCTAAGGTGAAGAATATTCTCTGTAAACCTGAGATGCGTCAGTAGTGCATTTACCCATCAGTTGAGGCGTATAAGGTGTGTTGATGCGTTCACACTGCGCACTATAGCTGCTTCCTGTTAGCGCCTCGCAGATCTTTGACTGGACGAACAGAGAAGCCTTGTCCACCTTCAGATCACCCTTTGGAAGCCTGATCAACATCAAAACCCAAATGAATAAATGGAACGCCCTCCCCGATCATCTGAGATCTCTGCAGCTTGTTTCTGTACCTGGGTTGGTCACACCAGAGGCTTTCAGGCAGCAGGTGTGGCGCCTCCTTCCAACGACTTTCTATGACCTGCAGACACATAAAGCTACAGTAGATGTGGAGCTTCACATGCCTCCATTCCTTGTTTTCACCCTCAGATCACCTGAGTGACGTGCTGATGAAGGGGAGGAGGTGGGCCCAGCTGCGACAGAAGATGGAAGAAGGCGGCGCAGACGGCATGAAGACTGCAGCGGTTGTAAAAGGAGAGATTCTCCTGATTGGACGCTCCAAGTTCCTGACCAATTAGAGAGCAGTTCATGAGAAAACGACAGTGACGTGGTAACAGCAATCCCTCTGAGGCGATCCGTCGTCACCTGCAAGGCCAGCGTCAGTCGGATCAGGTCCACCAGCACCTCCTCGTTGAGCAGCTCCACGCTGAGAACAGCCATTAGGCTGAAGAGCGCCTTGTAGTGGTTGGATCCATTGTTCTCCTCCTTACAGGCCAGATAGATGTGTCTGTAGAGACGCTGAGCGTGCTGCACCAGCAGAAACCCACAAAGCAAGGATCTCTGAACATAGAACCTACCCCATACTTTACGCTGCTCTTCCCTCTATCATAGTTGGATGAACCAGAGAAGCGGTCTTCCTTCTAAGTACCGTAATTTTCGGACTATAAGCTGCGCCTGAATATTATTTCGTTTATTTAATTACCATACGGTTCGTCAACAGAGAGGATTGTCGTGAAAGAGGCAACTGTTTGGGGAAGCTCCTATTTATTAACATTTCAAGACAACTGAATTGAGACAATTCTTCCTGCTGGCGTCTCCAACGTCTCATCATTGACTCGTTGATTCCAAGGTTACGTGCAGCGGTTCTACTTCCTTCGTTTAATGCCAAATGGACAGCCTTTAACTTAAAAGCTGCATCATATGCATTTCAACGTATGTTTTCCATAATGAGGTTGTCACACAAACTGTCCTTCGTTAGCAATGTCCGTCTTTCTCAGAGTCTGCTTCCGGAGGTACCGTATTACCCTAGTGGCCGTTAGCTGTAAGTCCATAGATAATTCGCAAGGTCGAAAAATGGGGAAAAAGTCCGAAAATTACGGTAGTTTTTATTCTAACTACATGGTTACATCTTAATATGTAATTATATTTGGATGAAAGGCAGGAAATGAAACCAGGTGTATCCAGTGTCCTTACCTTCCTAATGAACAGGTTGTCCTGTCTGGAGCATCTGTCCTCCTTCTGCTTCAACACTGATGCATCAAACGTTACACTAAAACAAAAGAATCAAATGTTTTTCTACTTCCGTTCATCTAAACTGAAACCTGCAACCCACTGCAGTAACATCCATTCGCCACTAGATGGAGGCATAGATGACCTGACTGTGGGGATCCTGGCAGCGTTCTGGTGACGATCGATGAGGGACGTGAGGATGGACAGAACCAGGAGGCGGATCTCTGGATCCTCCATCAGGGTGAAGGACAGCAGAGGCTCCAGGAAGGAGGAGGGCAGCGCTGTCAGCAGGTTGCTGCTCTCGTAACGTTCTGAAACCTGAGCAGACGGACGCCTTCATTGTGTCACAGAACATAGATTTTCTCAAATATGATTAGTTATTTTTTACTTTACTAGCTAGGCTAGGCTTAAAACTTTCCTTTTTGATAAAGCTTCTAGTTAGAGTGGCTCAGGTTATCCTGAGCTATCTCTATAGTTCTGCTGCTATAGGCTTAGACTGCTGGAGGACATAGAGACCCCTTCTTCATCATTCCATCTCTATTCTCCCACTCTGAAGAATCTGTTAGTTCAATCTCTTTTCCAGTCAATTAAACTGGAACCATATCAGGATCTGTGGGAAGATTTCTGTGAGTCTGATCTCTCACCTGCAGCAGAGACTTCAGCAGCATCACCTGGATCATCCTGCTGCCTTCAAACCTGAAACAGACGGATCATCATCATCATCATGATGTCAGCAGCGTGTTGGGCATCTCTCTGAGTGACCAGGTGGGAAGGTTACCCTGCGTTCGGCGAGCCCAGGGCGGGATAGATGCCAGGAACAGGAATTCTACCCATGATGAACAGCATGACCTCTGACCTCTGGTAGACAGGAAGTGTGTTGGCAAAGGATCCTGCAGCAGGATTGGAGGACAGCCATCAGTTCAAGCAATCAAGCGGCAGCAGAGATCAGTGGGAGGAGCCTGACCGATGGTTCTGATGACGGCGTCCTGCAGGGTTTTCTCGTGAACCGACGTGGTTTTGTGTTTGCCGGCGTTGTCATAGTAACCCGTCAGCTGGTAGTCGACGCTCTGCCTGAGTTGTCGCAGTAAAGTGTTGAACACCTCCAACACGGTGGGACCTGAGGCACACAGCGGAGACGTTTCTGAGTGGATGGGGTTTCTGGGGGGCGGAGCTTCTGACTGTTCAGGTTTCCTCTCTGACCTACTGATCCCGTGACCTCTATGGCCGCAGCCTCAGACAGGACCTCCACGATCCCGGCTCTCACTGAAGCTGGACTCCTGCTGTTGGCATCCAGGTGACCCAGCAGCTGCTGGATGACCAGATGGGAGTGCTGGGACTGATATGAAGCGTTAGTCACTCAGCAGAAACACAAGGCAGAGAAGAGCTGATGTCATCTTAGTGTATTTCCTGACCTGAATGGAGAACATGATGATCTGAAAGCAGCGGACAGCGAATCCTCGTCCTTCCCACAGGCTGTGTCTGTCCAGGTGCCTGAAAGCACAACAGCAGCAGAGAAATGAAGAATCGATCGGCTTCATTTGGGCTCCACCATGTTGGGGTTTCATGGCGTCTTTTATCCACCTGCTCTTTGGGAACCAACCTTAGTGTCTCACTCGTTTTTTGGCACCTTATTTAGACACGTTTGAAGCGTCTGGTTTTGTCAGCTAAAGTCTCTCTTAAAATGTAAATTTGCAGGAAAGCCTTAAAGAAGAAGCAAATTAAACCCAAATTCCTGTGGAAAGAAGAGGAGAGGTTTAACATTATGATAATAAAGGTAACAAACCCACTGAGACGATAAATGGTACCAAACAGCTCGGGTAGTTTTTCTGTTCACACCAACAACACCGACGGTTCCTCATAAAGAAAAAGAGATGCCATTTTATTTCTGTAAAGTTTCACCTTTAACTGAATATCATTTGGCCCACCCCCCCGTCACCCACCAGGCCAACCAATCATGGAGCACCTGGAGAGGTGGAAGGTGAAAGGTCGCCCCTAAGACGATGGTTCGGATCTACTGACTCCTGTCCAGGAGATCCATCTCCACCATATGCTCCCTTTCCCTCACTGTTCTCACCATCTCGCACTACAACTGCTCACGATTATTAGTCAAACCTCTGATGTCATCACAGGACGGATGGGAAACTCTTCCTGCACCAAACCAGGAAGCTCATACCTGAACAACCTGCCATGTCAATGAAACCCTGACTTATTGGAGGTAAGACTATATATTCCTATTAAACCTGAAATTAAATATCTGGGGATCCACTTATCCAATAAAATAAAAGAATGCAAGTCACGACTAAACTTCTGTCTACAGAGGGATTTATCTACACTAGGATGGTGTAACAATGAGCCATGTTACCTGTATATTAGCCAAAGCTAAACACAGCATCTGGTTTTCTACATTAGTTTGGGTGAAGTGGATTTGTTTGGGTTGTGGTTCTTTGGTCGGCCACATCTTGTTTCCATTTTTGTAAAAAGGTAAATTGATTTCACTTTACAATATTTTGTTTTTGTTTAACTCTTCATAAAAGGGCATTTCATGGATTAAGGAGTTAAAATATAGTGAAATACTAAGCAGGTGTGTACAGGACTGTACCATTGGATAATTGAAGGGGGGGAGGTTGATCTGATCTATGGTGTTTTCTTTATTGAGTTTTTGTTTGGATTGAATTAAAATATTTGTTTTTGTTTTTATTGGTAAAAGTATTTCTTAATTAGTTGTTTGTTTAAACCAAACTTTCATTTTCTTCTTATTGTGAAGCTGAACAGCCTTTTAAAAATGGTTTCTTCCAATTTAGTTCCTCCTCTATTTAAGAAACATATCTGCCATTGTTCTGGGTTGGTTGATGCACAAGAAGAAATGAAAGTTTTGTCAGCTGAAAACTCTTCAGAGCAGGTTCTTCTTTCAACCAGTTTGGGTCCCGCCTCCTGACAAGCGAGTGACAGATGGATCTAGATGGATCTACCCGGCCTATTGCAACGTCATCCCAAACAGATTAATTCAACCATTTAACCAAATCAAACAGACGACATTATATGAAGAGAAGCAGTTTGGTTAAAGAGGCAAAGGATGCAGGTCTCAAAGTTATTGATTTTTCTGCCTAAATGGGAGCATAAAAATAAACTGGTTAAAATCTTGGATCAAACACAGCGAATCGTTTTAGTTTTCTATTCCAAGGACGACAGCGAACTTTAATGTTTCACAGACAAATCCTCCTTTACTGGAAAATGTTACCAGTGCAGAACTTCTCACCTGTTCTCTGGAACTACAGATATAATCTGCACTGCAACAAATCTGGTATGGGAGAAATATACGGTCCATAGCAGATTTAATGGATGCCAACAGAGTTTTTATAATTATGAACACTTTTGCATTAAACATAATTTCAAACCTTTAGAGTCAAACTTTAATAAATAACACTGAGCACTACCCCAAGAATTAACCAAAAATACTTTAGCATATCATCCAATAAACAATTAAAGGGATTAATATTATGGATAGAAAAAGCACTAAACATTTTATTAGAAACTGTTTTAATGAAAACCTTTACTCTGAAAGACAAAATAAAATTTAAATCTTACAGAACTGTGATAAAAGCTCAATAACTAAACTAAGAACAATGCATCTAACTCTCCCTAGACCCCTAAAATAATGAATATTTACCCCTCTTGAGAATTATGGAGACTTTGCTTCGGTATAGATGATAACAGATTTACGTTCTGTGAAAACGACATGGAAACTTCAGACCATCTGTTCTTCTCATGTTCAGTGATGCAAACATCTTGTTTTGATTTGCATAGATGGATTAAACCTCAGCGATCTTCGTTTCCAACATTTACCTCCTGCAAACTCAGGCTGATCAGCTCTGCAATAATACGATTGTTTGTCTAGCTACATTTTATTCATAAATGAAGAATTGCTAAATCATCTCCCAAACTTGTTGTTTTCTAAATGAGTTTAAGCTTTATATAAAATCATTAAAGATTCTGAAAAATCCTGAAGCACAAAAAATCTCTGATATCCTAAAACTCTTCCCAGAATAAATAAACATCTAAAAAAAAGACTGAATTCTCTCCTCATGTTATATTTTCTTAATCTATATCATTGTTTTTATTTTATGACTATTCTTATAATTTTCTATTTGTTTATTACTTGGTTTTATGTACTTGATGTTTATGTTAATACCCTCTATAGCAGGTCTACGTTAACGATATATATTTCATATTTGTATGAATATATTTTCTATGTTTTCTGACTTGAAGAAACAAACTATATGCAGCCATGTTTGTCTGTTAACCTTGATATTTTCAATAAAAAAAAAACCCTGAACAACCAGGAAGTTGAAGAGTCATCCTGTTTCATTAGTTTATTAGTACACAGTTAAAGCTTCTTCTTCCCCTAACATCTGCAGAATCAAACTTATTAATAAGTCTTTATTCATGGTGATGTTGGAGGGATTGAGGTTCTTACATGAGCACAGGTTTGATGGCGTTGTTGATGTGACCGTAAGCAGCTCGACCCAGCAGCTCTCTGAAACACACCTCAGTCTGCTCTGCAGGAGAACCGCTGCCAGCAAACAGAATGAAACGGATTTTAACCCCCAGAGGAAAAGAATGCCCACCGTGGCGCCCGCTTATCTGTTGGCCATGATGGCGTACCTGCTGCTGCTGGAGGTCTCCAGGTTGACCAGTAAAGCAGGGACCATCTGCTCCATGTGATGAGGCTCCCAGATGTTTACCTGCAGCTCGTCGTCCACCGTCTTCCTGACGACCCCCTGAAGGCCGCGGATCCCCGACACGCGGATCCTGGATAACGGACCGAATCTTTACTGCAGTGGTAGAAGCTTAGAGCAGGAAATAACAGCTGAACTAAACATGGAGAACTTTTAAATCAACAAACGGAGGATTCAGCAAAGAAGTCTGATGATTAATCTATCGGGTTTAAAATGCCTGAAACATTTTATGAATCATTAGATCAAAAAATCTCATCCTCTTGGCTTTTGTTCTAGAATTACAGTTTTTATAGAAAGACCATATATATTTCATTAATTATGAATCATTTTTGATTCCTCTCCTGTGGAACCAACTACCAGTTTTAGTCCGTGAGGCAGACACCCTGTCTACTTTTAAGGCTAGGCTTAAAACTTTCCTTTTTGATAAAGCTTCTAGTTAGAGTGGCTCAGGTTATCCTGATCTATCTCTATAGTTCCGCTGCTATAGGCTTAGACTGCTGGAGGACATAGGGACCCCTTTTTCATCATTCTGCTTCATTCTATCTCTATTCTCCCACTCTGCAGAATCTGTTAGTTCAATCTCTAACGTTCTGCTCTCTCTGCTTTTTCTCATAGTAGCTTCATCTGGTCTGTTCCTGTTTGGCTGTGACTCCATCCTGGAGAGAAATATCAGCTGTGCTGCTGCCATCAACACCTTTGTTTCTAGATGCTGGAGCTTGGCCTGTTTTCCAGTGTAGTCCTGTTTCTCTGACTGTGACTAACTGGATGTGCTCTCTTCATCCTCTGACATGGGAGCTGGCTCGGAGCTCGTCTGCCTGGCTGTGTGTTTCCTGGACGGGGCCGCCTGTGGAGCTGGTTGACAGTTGCCTTTTGTATCTATGCTTCTTTTTCTATGTCTGCTTCTGTCTCCTTGAACCCCAGTGGGCCTCAGCAGATGGCCGCTCACACTGAGCCTGGTTCTGCTGGAGGTTTCTTCCTGTTCAAAGGGAGTTTTTCCTCTCCACTGTCGCTACAAGCATGCTTAGTGTGAGGGATTGCTGAAGAGTCAATGAGTCGATGCAATCAGCTGGTTTTCCTTAGAGAGAAAACTTTGAATCAATCTGACTGGATGATCTGGTGAACTGGAAAGTGACCTGAGATGACATGATGTGAATTGGAGCTATAGAAATAAACTGAATAGAATTTAATTTAGTCTGGGTGGAAAAACTGTTATTTCCCAGCATTTTAAATATTTTTTTCTATCAACCCACATTATCCTTTCCTTCTTTAGCTGCTATAAATCAAGATTAAAAACACATTTGTTCCGAGGACATTTGGCTCTGCTCTGTTCTGCAGTTTATTATTAATTCATTTGTTTTTATGTTTTATTCTCTGGTTTAATAAGAGACCAAAGCTGCCAGACTGACGGCATATAAAGACTTTTCCGATTGGCAGCAACGCTGAATGGAAAAACAATAAAATCACTGACTTGATCTTCATGTCGGGGTCTTCGTGGTCAGAGTGACACATTTCACTGAACCGCGACACGAAGAAGTCGTAGCTGCGATGGTATGAAGGCGTGTCCTCCTCGATGTTCGCAAACTTCACAAACTGCGATAAAAAACAGATTCAACTGAAAAGTACGGAACTTCCAGCCAAACATTAGGAGGATATTTATAGTTATTTAGCAAAGAGAAAAATAAAAATGTTATTATTTCCAAGTAATTTTATCACTGTGTCATTCATTCATTTATAAAAATATTACTTTGTTAAATAAATATTAAGTTTGCAAACAAAGTATTTATTTTCGAGCTAAATATTGATTTAACAAACTAAATATTTAATATGTAATATTTAAAATAAATTAAAGTCTGAAAATAAGAAGAAAAATGGGGAAAAAAAGAGAAAACAAAGGAAAAAAAATAAGAAATATATTTAGTCGAATTGAACCCGTCTGAATAAAATTTATATTTGAATCTGATGAAGCAAAAAGAGGAGAAAAGAAAAACCCCTTTAGGCTGGATCTGCCTCCTCTACCTTCTGCAGAAGGTGGAGGATCCTGCAGGGAACCTAATGTGTTTCCTGCACACATCCAAACGTTTTTCATCTGGCTCTATCATAGATTAAGATTAAACGTTAAAATAATGAGAATTTATCAAAAATTTGTTAAATCTCTGCAAGAAAATAAAATACATTTTATCTCCAAACAGGAAACAGAAGAACTGTCACAGAGGAAACTAAATGCTTTCATTTTTAGACATTTTAAAAGTATTTTATAAAGATAACTGCAGAGTCTGTATGATCAGCTTATCTTATCTAGGCTTTGATCTAAGAGATAAAACATTAAAAGCAGAAATAATCCTGCTGTTAATCCCTCTGCATTAATCCACAGAAAGAAGATGATGTTTCGAGGTGGGGAACAGCACAGGTGTGTGGCTGCGTACAGAGTTGGTGGCCAGGATGTGCAGGTGCGGCTTGTCGGCCTCCAGCAGCAGCCGCAGGGTGCTGAGGAAACTCTCCACCAGCAGGTTGATGCTTTGGCAGTGGCAGGCCAGCAGCAGCTGCTCCATGGCCTCCAGAGCGATGCAGACGTACCTGAAACAGAACAACTCAATCATTCATCCTCTTTCAGGCCGGTTAACCAGATAAAGGCGGAGTTCTGACCCATAACGGTGGCGGTTCAGCTCTCTGGTTAGACGCTCAGACAGGTAGGCGGCGATCCTGTCCAGCTTCTCTGGAGCTGACAGAGCGAAGAAGGTCAGCTTCTCCATGTTGGCTTTGACTAGACCATCCTGCACAGAGCAAACATGTTCACACCCTGCTGCCTCCTCACATACGGTCGGATGCTTTATGGTTTCTGTTGCCTCTCTACCTCGGGGTCCTCTGGGAAAATGTTGTCGACCAGCCGTTTGTAGCGAGGACGCAGCGCCCAGCAGCAGCCACACACACCTGCACACACACACACACACACAGCCCAACATTAACACAAGGCTGTAGGAGAATAAACACAGGATTGTTTGGAGATCATCTTAAATATAAAAGTTGTGGAAAACATTTTCTATATAATGTTTTCCAGTTTATTGATTTTAAGTTTTTATAAAACATTAGTGATGAGGAATTCAGGGATGTTTGCAGCCTGTAGGGGGCAGCAGAGCCACTGTTGCTATTAATCCTTGGGTTTTCATCTCTTGCATGTTGAGCATTTCAGGGATTAATGGCTGTAAGAGAGAAATCAGCGGTCAGAACCCAAACCGCCCGCTGCAAAAAATAACAAAAAAGCATCTGGGTCTGAGTCCCATGTCACCTTAGACCCAATCTGAACATTAAAGATGAGGGTTTATCTCAAACATTGGGACTTTCTAGATTTCTCCTCACCAGCCAGATTTATACGGAACAATAGAGCAGCAGCAGTAAAGCTGCATCTTAGGAATTAATCCTGCTGCTTGTTACATAACATCTCTATAGTCGATTTCAGTAAGCAGAGTTTAAAGAGACAGCAGCACTGGTTCAATCCATTAAACTGGACACATGATCTGGCTCCATTAGCCGAAAGAACCAACGTTAAATTAGACACTATGAGGGAGAATCATTCCCATTATGAAAGTCTTAGTTTGATCATTTGGATCAGAGGAACTGGCGGGTAAAAGATTCATTTAATGGTGCTAAAAACTGCAGATAATGCATCCGTAGAGCTGTGAAAGAAAGCCTTAGTTAGAGAGAATGCTCCCTATGTCCTCCAGCAGTCTAAGCCTATAGCAGCATTATTATAGAGATAGATCCAGATAGCTGAGCCACTCTAACTGTAAGTTTATTAAAAAGGAAAGTTAGTATGGGAGGAATATTGTTGCAAAATTATTTACACACGTGTGTGGAGAGTTGTGTGTCTGTACAACAATCTGCAAAGGTGTAAAACTACTTGTGTGTGTAATCCGGTTTGCAAATGTGTAAAAAAATCCACAAATCTGTATTTAGATCTGCAAATGTGCACCAAGATCAGCAAATGTGCACCAAGATCTGCAAATGTGCACCAAGATCAGCAAATGTGCACCAACATCAGCAAATGTGCACCAAGATCTGCAAATGTGAACCAAGATTTGCAAATGTGAACCAAGATCTGCAAATGTGCACCAAGATTTGAAAATGTAAACCAAGATCTGCAAATGTGCACCAAGATTCGCAAATGTGCACCAAGATCAGCAAATGTGCACCAAGATCTGCAAATGTGAACCAAGATTTGCAAATGTGAACCAAGATCTGCAAATGTGAACCAAGATTTGCAAATGTGCACCAAGATCAGCAAATGTGCACCAAGATCTGCAAATGTGCACAAAGATTTGCAAATGTGCACAAAGATTTGCAAATGTGCACCAAGATCTGCAAATGTGCACCAAGATCAGCAAATGTGCACCAAGATTTGCAAATGTGCACCAAGATTTGCAAATGTGCACCAAGATCTGCAAATGTGCACCAAGATTTGCAAATGTGAACCAAGATCTGCAAATGTGCACCAAGATCAACAAATGTGCACCAAGATCTGCAAATATGCACCAAGATTTGCAAATGTAAACCAAGATCAGCAAATGTGAACCAAGATCAGCAAATGTGCACCAAGATTTGCAAATGTAAACCAAGATCAGCAAATGTGAACCAAGATCAGCAAATGTGCACCAAGATTTGCAAATGTGCACCAAGATTTGCAAATGTAAACCAAGATCTGCAAATGTGCACCAATATTTGCAAATGTGAACCAAGATCTGCAAATGTGCACCAAGATTTGCAAATGTGAACCAAGATCTGCAAATGTGCACCAAGATCAACAAATGTGCACCAAGATCTGCAAATATGCACCAAGATTTGCAAATGTAAACCAAGATCAGCAAATGTGAACCAAGATCTGCAAATGTGAACCAAGATCAGCAAATGTGCACCAAGATCTGCAAATGTGCACCAAGATCATCAAATGTGCACCAAGATCATCAAATGTGCACCAAGATTAGCAAATGTGCACCAAGATTTGCAAATGTGCACCAAGATCATCAAATGTGCACCAAGATCTGCAAATGTGCACCAAGATCAGCAAATGTGCACCAAGATTTGCAAATGTGCACCAAGATTTGCAAATGTGAACCAAGATCTGCAAATGTGAACCAAGATCTGCAAATGTGCACCAAGATTTGCAAATGTGAACCAAGATCAGCAAATGTGCACCAAGATTTGCAAATGTGCACCAAGATCTGCAAATGTGCACCAAGATCAGCAAATGTGCACCAAGATTTGCAAATGTGAACCAAGATCTGCAAATGTGAACCAAGATCTGCAAATGTGCACCAAGATTTGCAAATGTGAACCAATATCAGCAAATGTGCACCAAGATCTGCAAATGTGCACCAAGATTTGCAAATGTAAACCAAGATCTGCAAATGTGCACCAAGATTTGCAAATGTGAACCAAGATTTGCAAATGTGAACCAAGATCTGCAAATGTGAACCAAGATCTGCAAATGTGAACCAAGATCTGCAAATGTGCACCAAGATTTGCAAATGTGAACCAATATCAGCAAATGTGCACCAAGATCTGCAAATGTGCACCAAGATTTGCAAATGTGCACCAAGATCTGCAAATGTGCACCAAGATCAGCAAATGTGCACCAAGATTTGCAAATGTGAACCAAGATCTGCAAATGTGAACCAAGATCTGCAAATGTGCACCAAGATTTGCAAATGTGCACCAAGATTTGCAAATGTGAACCAATATCAGCAAATGTGCACCAAGATCTGCAAATGTGCACCAAGATTTGCAAATGTGAACCAAGATCTGCAAATGTGCACCAAGATTTGCAAATGTGCACCAAGAATTGCAAATGTGCACCAAGATCAGCAAATGTGCACCAAGATCTGCAAATGTGCACCAAGATCTGCAAATGTGCACCAAGATTTGCAAATGTAAACCAAGATCTGCAAATGTGCACCAAGATCTGCAAATGTGCACCAAGATCTGCAAATGTGCACCAAGATCTGCAAATGTGCACCAAGATTTGCAAATGTGAACCAAGATCTGCAAATGTGCACCAAGATTTGCAAATGTGAACCAAGATCTGCAAATGTGCACCAAGATCAACAAATGTGCACCAAGATCTGCAAATATGCACCAAGATTTGCAAATGTAAACCAAGATCAGCAAATGTGAACCAAGATCAGCAAATGTGCACCAAGATTTGCAAATGTGCACCAAGATTTGCAAATGTAAACCAAGATCAGCAAATGTGAACCAAGATCAGCAAATGTGCACCAAGATTTGCAAATGTGCACCAAGATTTGCAAATGTAAACCAAGATCTGCAAATGTGCACCAAGATTTGCAAATGTGAACCAAGATCTGCAAATGTGCACCAAGATTTGCAAATGTGAACCAAGATCTGCAAATGTGCACCAAGATCAACAAATGTGCACCAAGATCTGCAAATATGCACCAAGAGTTGCAAATGTAAACCAAGATCAGCAAATGTGAACCAAGATCTGCAAATGTGAACCAAGATCAGCAAATGTGCACCAAGATCTGCAAATGTGCACCAAGATCATCAAATGTGCACCAAGATCATCAAATGTGCACCAAGATTAGCAAATGTGCACCAAGATCAGCAAATGTGCACCAAGATCATCAAATGTGCACCAAGATCTGCAAATGTGCACCAAGATCAGCAAATGTGCACCAAGATTTGCAAATGTGCACCAAGATTTGCAAATGTGAACCAAGATCTGCAAATGTGAACCAAGATCTGCAAATGTGCACCAAGATTTGCAAATGTGAACCAAGATCAGCAAATGTGCACCAAGATTTGCAAATGTGCACCAAGATCTGCAAATGTACACCAAGATCAGCAAATGTGCACCAAGATTTGCAAATGTGAACCAAGATCTGCAAATGTGAACCAAGATCTGCAAATGTGCACCAAGATTTGCAAATGTGAACCAATATCAGCAAATGTGCACCAAGATCTGCAAATGTGCACCAAGATTTGCAAATGTAAACCAAGATCTGCAAATGTGCACCAAGATTTGCAAATGTGAACCAAGATTTGCAAATGTGAACCAAGATCTGCAAATGTGAACCAAGATCTGCAAATGTGAACCAAGATCTGCAAATGTGCACCAAGATTTGCAAATGTGAACCAATATCAGCAAATGTGCACCAAGATCTGCAAATGTGCACCAAGATTTGCAAATGTGCACCAAGATCTGCAAATGTGCACCAAGATCAGCAAATGTGCACCAAGATTTGCAAATGTGAACCAAGATCTGCAAATGTGAACCAAGATCTGCAAATGTGCACCAAGATTTGCAAATGTGCACCAAGATTTGCAAATGTGAACCAATATCAGCAAATGTGCACCAAGATCTGCAAATGTGCACCAAGATTTGCAAATGTGAACCAAGATCTGCAAATGTGCACCAAGATTTGCAAATGTGCACCAAGAATTGCAAATGTGCACCAAGATCAGCAAATGTGCACCAAGATCTGCAAATGTGCACCAAGATCTGCAAATGTGCACCAAGATTTGCAAATGTAAACCAAGATCTGCAAATGTGCACCAAGATCTGCAAATGTGCACCAAGATCTGCAAATGTGCACCAAGATTTGCAAATGTGAACCAAGATCTGCAAATGTGCACCAAGATTTGCAAATGTGCACCAAGATCAGCAAATGTGCACCAAGAATTGCAAATGTGCACCAAGATCAGCAAATGTGCACCAAGATCTGCAAATGTGCACCAAGATCTGCAAATGTGCACCAAGATTTGCAAATGTGAACCAAGATCTGCAAATGTGCACCAAGATCTGCAAATGTGCACCAAGATCTGCAAATGTGCACCAAGATTTGCAAATGTAAACCAAGATCTGCAAATGTGCACCAAGATCTGCAAATGTGCACCAAGATCTGCAAATGTGCACCAAGATTTGCAAATGTGACCCAAGATTTGCAAATGTGCACCAAGATTTGCAAATGTGAACCAAGATCATCAAATGTGCACCAAGATTTGCAAATGTGCACCAAGATTTGCAAATGTGCACCAAGATCTGCTAATGTGACATTCGGAGCTGCTATCATTCTGCATGGAGTTTGCATGTTCTCCCTCAGCATGCATGGGTTCTCTCCAGGTACTCCGGCTTCCTCCCACAGTCCAAAAACATGACTGTTAGGTTAATTGGCTTCTCTAAAGTCCCCTAAGGTGTGAGTGTGAATGGTTGTTTGTCTCTGTGTTGCCCTGAGATGGACTGGGGACCTGTCCAGGGTGGACCCCGCCTCTCGCCCATTGACTGCTGGAGATAGGCACCAGCACCACTTGCGACCCCACTTGGGACAAGCGGGTCAGATAATGGATGGATGGTTTTGATCGCTCCATTACTACTTGGATTTAGAAAAAATAAATAAAGTAAATCCAGACGTTTCCAGCCCTGGGAGAGCAGCTCATCATGGAGAGAAAACTCAGCCGAGCTTCCAGCAAAACTGGGGCTGGAGAAACTCGCTACCAATAAAACCACATGAAGGGATGGATCTGTCCACAGTCTAAATAAAAGGCTCTAAAAGTGTTTCAAAGAAGAAAGCCTCAAAGATTCAGAAATTTCTAAATATCTGCATCTCTGCAGGATATTCCTGCACACACGGCTTCATCTCCCCAAAGAGACGTCTGGAAAAATGATGAGATTAAAAGACATTAGAGTCTGAAATCTGTGCAGTTATGAATCCATCAGCAGGTCTACAGCGCAGCGGGAAGGATGCGGAGGAACATTAGGAGAAGATCGGAGACGATTTCAGAAAAGCAACTGCATAAACAATAATAATAACAATAATAATAAGAAATGTAAATGGATAGTAAACGAAAACGCAGGTCAAATGGGAGCAAAAATTATTTATTCAGTTATTTTTATGTCGGTTTGTTTTTTATTAACTTCACGAATAAATAATCTGCAAAACCTGAAACTAACTTTATTGAAATAACTTTGTGTTTCAATTTAATAATGGAAAAAACTCAGAATTCTGACCTAAACTCAAAATTCTGACTTCAATCTTAGAATTCTGACTTTTTTTCCTCAGATTTCTGACCTTTTTCTCAGAATTCTGCCTTTAAAGGACAGATTTAATGAAATAATTGGAATTTTTCACCTGGACTCCAATTTTCTTCTTTCCTCAGAATAAAATCTATAAACTAGATGGTAAAAAAATAGACTGATAAATGCTGAATATCATCTTACCGTACATGAGGATGTCTGGTTCAGCTCACATCCACACACAGCTGGAGTTAATCCCCTCCATGGTGTGGAGGCTCCGCCCCCTTCCATTCATAATTATCCTGTGTGATTAGCAGCGGCGCCTGATTAACCATCTAAAGCACGGTTCAAACCCACCTGGGAACGGTTCTGTTCTGTGATCCTGCGGGCGGGACGGCGGGTCTGTGTCAGTGAATGTTGTTTGGTGGGAGATCCAGGTCATGTGCTGCAGCTCAGCGCTCAATAATCTGCTCTGGATTTATTCGCCATATTACAGGAATCTGCAGAAAGCTGGAAGCTCCGAGCTTTAGTGGGACAAACGTTGGGATTATATAACAGGAAACCTGCTGTGGGTTTTCTAATAAAGGAATTTATTCAATCATTATTAGAGCTTTTTTTATTATTTAATCTTTTAGGTTTAGGTTTTGCATATATTATTTTTATTGTCCACTATGCTGCTTTGATTAAAAAGGAAAATAAGAGGATTAAAAGACCTCATGAATAAAACAATAAAATTTAAACTCATTAAATGGAGGCTCTGATGATATTTATGTGTGAATTCAATTATTACACAACTTAAAGGATTCTTTGAAATATGATCCAACTTAAGGTCGAAGGGAAATCATATCTAGATTTTAAATCATTCTGGCTTAAACATGTATATAAATGTGCTCTCTATCAGACCATATTGTCTCAAAATGTAGAAAATTTCAATAAAAAAAAAAAAAAAATCCTTTTTTTCCCCTCCTCTTGCATGTTTCCTCTGTCCATAGCGTTCCTTGACAGCGTCGTTTCTAAGTCACCAATTTAGTGCTACTTGGTCCCAATGGAATTTCCCATTGGGAACCTGCTAGCACTAAGATGCTAACTGGTTAGCAAGATGCTTCCCACAAACTGGCCACAATCAAACTTGTTTGTGAACCTTCCGCCACAACAATCCCACCCCCTTAATAATCGACCAATCACCACTCGGGAGAATTCAGAAATGCAACGGTTTGAACAGCCGCTTCCGTACGACTTTAAAACCGTTAAGAGGATTTAATGTCATTTACAGGGACTCAAATATATACAATAGATAACAATCATCTGTTGTTAAGTTGCTGGTTGGCTTCACGCCACCGACTCTGCTTTTAAACGTAGTTCAGTACATTTCCTCATGGTTGGGGGCGGGGCCAATCTAGAAGCCCATCCAGTAAAGGTCAGGATGTGTTTGGCTCCAAACTTCCGGCTTCTGGATGTTGATTTAGTTTGAAGAAGTTGAAGGTAGAACCAGTTCCTGTTATGATCGCAGCCCCGGTTAGCTGATCTAATTACTAACTTCCTTCACCTGCTGTTTCCTCCCCGCTCTCTAATTACCATTAATCTTATTCACCTGCTCCCTCTGCTATATAAATGGTTCAGTCCAGCTATCGAGGCCAGATCATTATTCGTTAGTTGTTCTTAGTTTATTCGTGTTATGTCTCAATGTAAGTTATTAATCTTTGCTTACTGAGTTTAGTTAAGTTCCTGGTTCATGTCCTGACTCTTGGAGGCCAGTGGATTGAGGGGTTTGTCTCCTGTCTCCTGGTTGGTTCCCGGCTCTTCTCCACAGAGGCTTCAGGGTTTTAGCTTGGCCTGCGAGGGGAGGCCCGGCTCGGAACGTGGGGGAGGTCAGTTTTAATTCCTGTAAGCCTGGCCCTAGGAGGAGACCATTTTAAAGTTCTGCAGTTATCCTGGTACCATGTCTTGTCTATGTTCCTCGCTGCCACTGAGCCCGCCCGCCTTCTGCTCGTGTCTGTCTGAGCTCGCTGCTGGACTCATAGAACTCTGAACCCACCTGAACGCTCTGAGGATTCCTGGATTCGGGTCGGAACCCCTGGTCCGGCTACGGACTCGGAACTGTCCGGTTCGGAACTGTTTCTCTGACCTGGATCGGTCTCCTGCCTGCTCACCTGGGTCGCTGCATGGGGGACACTTTGGGCAGCTGTTCTGGGAGTCCATCAGCTGAATCCTGCCTTCCTCCTTAGAGGATGGACTGAACTGTTAAACCAGGGAAGTGATTCACTCTGATAATCATCTCCTGTCAGATGATCGCGGTCACTTACCTGTGTTTCTCCCTCCAGAGTGTCAGTTCTGTTTTTTTATTATTTTCTGTCATTAAACGTTCTGAAAGTTCCCACTCGCCTTGAATACCGGGTCCATCTTTCCGGTTTATGACAGCAGTACCTCCGGTAATGAAACAGAACCATCAGATGGTTCCTCCTGCTTTACAACTGGGACAGTTTACTAAGGTAAGGATGCATGCAAACATCAAACATCACTTATTAACCAGCAGAAAAATTTGGATTCTTCAGGACAGAAAGAATCCAAATTATGAAGGATTTGCTTCAAATCAGCAGCTTCTGTCCTGGTGGGGATTTAAACTGCAGCCCGTCTCGTTGCTGTTCCAGTAGAATCCAGTTAAGGGACGTTTGAGTCTTAGTGGAGCAAATTGACCCAGTACTGACCAGCAGATGTAGGCCTGGTTCTGTTAGAAGAACCAACTGGAACCTCTTAACTTCCTTTAATATGTAGGGAGACTCAATTCAGAGAAAATCACTGATAAAGTTCAACTTTAGTCTCAGTTTTATCATCATTGTAGACTGAGAGGAAATGACTGAACATCATGAAGCAGAGTCAGGTTACCTCCAGACGTCTGGTGATCAAACACGGAGCAGCAGTCCTGCAGCAGCCGGCGGGGGGCCTCCGGTACGGTGGGCATGGAGACCATCCTGGGCAGCGTCACGCCCCTGGGCAGGCTGGGGATGGTGATCCCTCTGGGAATGCTGGGGAAGCTGGGCAGAGTGGGCAGACTGGGCATGGTGAGGCCCCGGGGCAGACTGGGAGGGTTGACGGCTCGGGGCAGGGAGCCGAGCAGAGCCGGGACCGTCACCCCCCGAGGCAGGCTGGGAAAGCTCGGAAGCGTCCCCGCCATCTCTGAGGAGAACTCCTGAGGTCCGGCGATGAAGAGGAGGTGGAAAACAGAGAGAGGGGAACCGGTTTAAAGCTCCTGCTTCACCACATTCCTCTGAACATTAACTCCTGCAGCTCAGCTCTGCTCCTCAGAGCTACAGCCTGGTCAAACATGGCGGCGACGGAAATCAGAGTTAGGGTTAGGCTAACCCTAACTCTGATTTAATCAATAAGAAAACACAGAAATCAGTGTTAAATATCAATCAATCTAAATCTGAAAGGGTTTTGTTCCTGGAGGATGTTGTGTTTTTTTAAAGAAACGTATTTTAACTCCTGGTTAATTATTTTTAAAAGCCAATAAAGAAGAAAAAAGAGCTTAAAAAATACTTTGTAAAAGTTTTAAATGATAAACTACGTATAACGTATGATTTGAAATAAAACGCATGATAGATTTTTGATGTATAGACATGATGTATTTTTTACTAAATTAAAAAGAATAAGAAGTTTTTAATGATGCGTTTTGCCATAAACAGTTAAAAGAAAAATTACTTCAAATTAAAAGAGATAAAATGAAATCAAACAATTATTGATGAGAAATATTATCTTCATTAATCTGATATAAAGTCTCCGAATTCAGCTATTTAGATTAGAAATACATTTCGTTAAAAGAAAACAGTGTCTGCATTTAGTTATTTGTTTAGTTAAAACTAAGACTGTAGAGTACGGAAGAAGATTAGGGCCATAAAAATAATCAAAAAGTTAACTGATTTTTAAATTTTGTTTCAGTTTAATATGAGAAAAAAAAACTCATAATTTAGACTTTAACAAACATGTTAGCATCAAGCCGCTCACGTCAGTGAAGCCGAGTGCTCCGTCTACATTAAGATCCACAATTTTGAGATTAAAGTCAGAATTCTAAGTTTTTTTCCCCATCTTTATAGAACAGGATTAAAGCCACTGAAAAAAAAAAAAAATAATAATTTACCTGATTTAAAAAAAAATTCACTATAATATGAGCAAAAACTCAGAATTCTGAAAAATTCAGTTAACTTTTTTTTTTTTGCTGGCCCTAATTCTCTTCTGTAACATTAAAAACCAAAATTCTGAGATTAAATTCGGAATTCTGAGAAAAAAAGTAAGAATTCTGCGAAAAAAGTCAGAATTCTGAGAAAAAAGTATGAATTTTGAGATTAAAGTCCGAATTCTAAGTTTTTTCCCCATATTAACAGAATAGGATTGGGGCCACTGACATTTTTTTTAAAAAGTTAACTGATTTTTTAATTTTATTTTACTATAATATGAAAATATTATAGTATTTTATTCTGAAAAATAATAAAATTCTGAAAAATGTAAAAATCAGTTAACTTTTTTTTTTTTTTGCTGGCCCTTATCCTCTTCCGTAACATTAAAAATCAAAATTCTTGAGATTAAATTAAAAATTCTGAAAAAAAAGTAAGAATTCTAAGAATAAAGTCAGATTTCTGACTTTCTTCCCCATATTAAAAGGAAATAACATAAAAATCTGTTAACATTTTTTTTCCAGTGGCTTTAATCCTCTTCCGTAGCAGAGACTTTGTTTTATTTTTGCATAATTTAAATAAAGCTGCATTAATAGAAAAGACACCGTCTGCTTCTAAAGGAGAACTTTAAATCAGTTCCAGCAGTAAAGGCATGATAATCAGCTCCTACCTGCTGCTCTGCAGCGCTGCTCCTCTCCTCCTGCTCCTCTCCTCCTCCTGCTGCCGCTGCTTCCCTCCAACAGCTGCTTATGTAACATCTGCTGCCCTGCAGCTCTGATCGATAATCGATACGCCGCTCTGCTTTCAGCTCCGCCTCCGACTGCATCCATCTGGACGCTGCTTACTGGCAGAGCATCACATTAAAGTTGGATGAAGAGGAGCCGCTCCTCCTCCTCCTCCTCCTCCTCCTCCTCTGGGTCCTGATGCTGCGGTGCAGGAGGGCCCTCTGCTGGCTAACAGGAGCCTCTGCAGATATTTTCCAGCAGGAAATCCATTCATTCAAACAGGTGCAGAGATGTTTGACATTTATTGGTGCCAAGAGGTGTAACTTACACAGAAAGACACTAGGGGGCGCTTTCATCTGTTTTTACATGATTTAATGCAAAAGATCTCATTAAAGTCAGAGATTCATAATTAGATTATGATCTAAAAAGAATTAGAAACAGTTTCCTGTTTCATCAGAATCATCCAATCACAGAGAGGAAACTAAAGTAGCCAATCAGGTCCCTCGGATCAGCCCTGGTTAAAGCTCCACCTCAGGACCTCCTTCAACCATGGCTGCTCCTCCGATAAACAGTCCCCCAAACTCCGCCTCCAGCTCCTGGAGGTGGGCGTGGCCTGCCTCCTCCCCTGTGGGCGTCTCTCCCAGGTTCCTCCACCAGGGCAGCCGGCTCGCCTGCAGCGCCGCGTTGTGGGCGTCCCTCGCCCGAGCGGCGATGGAGGCCGATGGGCTCAGGAAGGACTCCGCCTGCTTCGCCGTGACAACAGAGAGGGGCGGGGCATCTTCAGGGATGACAGAGTTGCTGATTAATGATCTTTGCAGCACTGACCATAGATACTTGGATTATTTAGAGCCTGCGTCTTTGGGGGCGTCACCTTGCAGCAGCTCCAGCTGTGTGCGAGCACACGCCAGCAGAGCCTCCACCCTCTGCTCCTCTCTCCTCCGCTGCTCTCCTTTCTGCAGCTCCGCTTGCAGGAGCAGCTGAACCTCCGCATGCAGCGCGGCGCCTTCCTCAGCAGACAGGCCTGTTGACTACAGAGGAGCACACACAGATCTTTCAGGGTCTTTTCTTCTCCCATAAATCTAAAATTTAAACTCTCCATGAAGGCAAAGCTTCTAGATTTAGAAATAAAGCCTCACCTGAAATATTGGGTTGAAAAGAAAACAAAAAACGGATAATTTAAAGAAGCAAAAAAGCTTTTTCAGTGTATTTCTATAGCTCCAATTCACATCATGTCATCTCAGGTCACTTTCCAGTTCACCAGATCATCCAGTCAGATTGATTCAAAGTTTTCTATCTAAGGAAAACCAGCTGAATGCATCGACTCATTGACTCTTCAGCAATCCCTCACACTAAGCATGCTTATAGCGACAGTGGAGAGGAAAAACTCCCTTTGAACAGGAAGAAACCTCCAACAGAACCAGGCTCAGTGTGAGCGGCCATCTGCTGAGGCCCACTGGGGTTCAAGGAGACAGAAGCAGACATAGAAAAAGGAAAAAGGGGTCCCTATGTCCTCCAGCAGTCTAAGCCTATAGCAGCAGAACTATAGAGATAGATCAGGATAACCTGAGCCACTCTAACTAGAAGCTTTATCAAAAAGGAAAGTTTTAAGCCTAGCCTTAAAAGTAGACAGGGTGTCTGCCTCACGGACTAAAACTGGTAGTTGGTTCCACAGGAGAGGAGCCTGAGAACTAAAAGATCTGCCTCCCATTCTACTTTTAGAGGTTCTAGGAACCACTAGTAAACCTGCAGACTGAGAGCGAAGAGTCCTCATGTTCAAGCAGAAAACTTAAATAAATCATAACTCAGTTAATATTTGAGGCAAAGTATGTTTTTTTACAAAATCTGATAAATAGTGATAAATGAGGCAAACTGTGACACTGTCTCACAGAATACTGACACCTGCTGGACATTAAAAGACACTACAGGCTGATTTAACAGGCTGTAGTGTCCTAGTTAGTACAATGATATAATCTGAGTTATTAAAGGCTATATTGTATTATTTCATATCTATGTTTAAACTGAAACCATTTTTGATATTTTTAGATGCAGCCAATAATTAATGTAAACATATGTCATTGTGAGAAAATTTATGGGTAAATAAAACTGAGGATGCTTGTGGACTAAGATTTTAAATTCTATTTTTAAAACAATAAGAGCTACAGTAAAAACAGTTAATAAACTAAGAGTCAATTTGAAATTAACATTAATTCAGATATAAGTTAAAATAAAAAGCAACGGCGTTCCTATTCCTAAACGTTCCTATTCCTTTCATACTGAAGAGGATTAAGGCCAGTGAAAAAATAAAAAAGTCAACTGATTTTTTAATAATATTCCAGTTTAATATGAGAAAAAAAGTCAGAATTAAGACTTTTATCTCAGAATTCTGACGGTGTGCAGTGGTTAGTGCGCACAACCCATGTACGGAGGCCTTAGTCCTTGATGCAGTCGACCTGGGTTTGAATCCGACCTGAGGTCCTTTGCCGCATGTCTCTCGCCCTCAAGAACTTTGACTATTTTTCTCAAAATTCTGTCTTTAATCTCGGAATTCTGACTTTAATCTTGGAATTTTGTCTTTAATCTCGGAATTTTGTCTTTAATCTCGGAATTCTGACTTTAATCTCGGAATTCTGTCTTTAATCTCGGAATTCTGACTTTAATCTTGGAATTCTGTCTTTAATCTCGGAATTCTGTCTTTAATCTCGTAATTCTGACTTTAATCTCGGAATTCTGTCTTTAATCTCGGAATTCTGATTTTAATCTCGGAATGCTGTCTTTAATCTCGGAATGCTGTCTTTAATCTCGGAATTCTGACTTTAATCTCGGAATTCTGTCTTTAATCTCGAGATTAAAGTCAGAATTCTGACTTTTTTCTCAGAATTCTGTCTTTAATCTCGGAATTCTGACTTTAATCTTAAATTATTAAAAACAAGAGAGCTAGTCTCTAAAACAGACATGGCTGCGGCTGGATGCTAACATGTTTGTTAGCTGTCAGATTTAAGTCAGAAATTTGAGATTAAAATTAAAATTCTGAGATCAAAGTCAGAATTTTGAGATTTTTTCCCATATTAAACTAAAATAATATCTAAAAATCAGTAAACTTGTTTTTTTTTTCCAGTGGCCCTAATCGTCTTCCGTAGTTTTCATTTTTCAGCTTGTTAGTGTTTCCCGGAGCCTCCAGGTGTCATTAGACCTGAATCCCTTCAGACTTCCTGGTTTAAATCATAAACTCAAATACCCTGTACGCGGCGATGTACTCGTCCAGCTGCTGTTTTAACTCCGCCCGCCGGCTGTCAGTCAGACCTTCCTGGCCAATCCAGAGAGGGGCGATGGGCGGGGCCTTGGCTGCTCGCCGTTTGTCCAGGAATCGACGCCCCTGGAGAAGCAGACAGGTGTTATGACGCCGCAGCGGGACGGACTGGGCGGCGTGAGGGCTGCTGGTGTGTTTTACGGCTCTCTGCAGAGTCCTGGCGGCGCGCCGCTGCCTCTGCGACTCTCTCAGAGCATCTCTCAGAGAGTCGACGTAGCGCCTTCTCGCTCTGAAGCCTCTCCAGAAGCTCTGGATCACCAGAGCAGCTCTGCGTTCACACTCCTGCAGGTACGGTTGCACCTGGTCTGAGATTAAGGCAAGTTAAACTATATCAGGTTAAAGCTGAGATTAAAATAAAGATGGAGGCGAGCTGAAGGTTTACCAGGAGGAAGACGCTGCAGCAGCTCCCTCTGCTTCTGATGGAAGCGTCTCCTCGCCTGCTGCCTCCTCACACACACCTGACAGTTCCCACAATAAAAGACCTTCAGAGCTCCGATGAACGCCCGAATGAATCATAGATCCAGAATAAATAGACACCATCAGGAAGCGCTGCTCTCTCTCCCCAGAACTGACCTGATACCTGAGCTGCTCCTCCCACTGCTGGGCCTCCTTCTGCTCCTGCTGAAGCCTCCTCCGCGCCCTGAGTCCCACACAGGATCATCGTCAAGTTATCGCGTTAAATACGATAAAGTTAGATCGCGTTCTTCAGACGGAGGAACCTGTATCTCCTCTGCAGCGCGCTGACGGCTCTGCTCAGGTTCTTCACTCTGCGGCGGGTCTGATACGAGCGCCAGGCGGCCTGGATCGCACACGCTGCCCGCACGCGCTCGCTGCTCACCTCCTACGAGACACGGATGATTATGTTCCTCCAAAGGTAAAGAATTTACATCTGACAATTTAACAGTGATTTCACTATTTAAGTTTCCTGATACAGAAGAGGATTAAGGCCACTGAAATAAAAAAACTTAACTTATTTTTAAATATTTCAGTTTAATATGAGAAAAAAAGTCAGAATTCTGACTTTAATCTGAGAAATCTGACTGAATTCTGCCAGCTAACCAACATGTTAGCATCCAGCCGTAGCCATGTCTGTCTCTCTGGTTTTAATCTCCTTCTGCTCCTCCATTAATCAAACAGCATCAGCAGGGGCCCTCAGGGACGGAAAAGTCTCCTAATTCCATCATTTTCCACCAATGTGTTCCTGTTTCTCCCAAATAACTCACATCTTTGTCAGTGAAGCTCAGTGATCCACATCTCTGCCTTGATGGTGAGCATCTATATTAAGATCCACAATAAAGTCATAAAGTCAGAATTCCGAGATTAAAGTCAGAATTCTGAGATTAAAGTCAGAAATCTAAGACTAAAGTCAGAATTCCGAGATTAAAGTCAGAATTCCGAGATTAAAGTCAAAATTCTAAGACTAAAGTCAGAATTCCGAGATTAAAGTCAGAATTCCGAGATTAAAGTCAAAATTCTAAGACTAAAGTCAGAATTCCGAGATTAAAGTCAGAATTCTAAGACTAAAGTCAGAATTCCGAGATTAAAGTCAGAATTCCGAAATTAAAGTCAAAATTCTAAGACTAAAGTCAGAATTCCGAGATTAAAGTCAAAATTCTGAGATTAAAGTCAAAATTCCTGAGATTAAAGTCAGAATTCCGAGATTAAAGTCAGAATTCCGAGATTAAAGTCAGAATTCTGACTTTTGTGCTATATTAAACTAAAATAAATTTTAAAATGAGTTTACTTTTTTTTTTAAGTGGCCCTAATCCTCTTCCTTATCATCCAGAGGAAATTAGGGTAAATATTTAGCTAATAACAATATTAAAGGTCATGAACATTTTTAGAGCAGAAGAAGAGAGGAGGTCCACATCAGGAGGAAACAAGAGAAAAAGAAAAATCTGTTTTTAAAAAGCATAAATATATACAAATATATAAATACTTTGGAGAAAATTGCTGCTTTTTTTATTTATTCTACATAAGTTATTTTCATTAAATAAATAAAAAAAAAAAAAACAGTAAATGGATATAATCAAACAAGTTAAATAAGTTGGTGAACCATTAAAGAAATACTTATAAAAAATAATATAATAAAAAATATAAATAAAAATATGAATAAAATATTCATAGATATTTTTTGTACTATATCCAATTATAGTATAATTTTCACCTTTTCATTGTTTTTTATATTTATGTAAAATGTTGTAAAAATTTATTTAAAAAAGTTAAATAAAGTTATTTTTTTTGCGTTCTTGGTAAATAATTAATATTATTTCCATTTAGCCTGAAAAAAGGATATTTAATAGATGTAGAATTTGTCTTTTGACTTAAAATATTTTAGAAATTTAATTTATGTTAAATGTTGGAAATTAAATTTAGCTTTAAAAAAAGACATGATTTAATGTTAATAAGAAAAAACAAAAAGCTGCTTGATCAACATTTTTCAGAGAAAGTTTTATTTCAATGTCGAAGTTTTGGTTAAACTTTTCTCACCATAAACTAGATTTTCCATCATAGAAGCGTAACTTTGGATTATTTTTCCTTCCTTCTATATTTCGAGCCACTAACCTGCGGCCGACCGCTGACGCTTTGCTGCCTCTGCAGGACGGAGGTCAGCTGGTCGACCTCCGCGTCGAAGCCCCGCCCCTTCCAGTCCTTCTCCAACAGGCTGGACAGACCTGCGAGGACGCGGAATGACCTCTGACCTTTTATCAGGAACAAAAACAGCTTCACCTCTTTCTGATGGGCGACACATCTGACCTCTGACCTTTGAAGTTGAGCAGGAGGGGCTGTAGGCGGCGTCCTAGCTGGCTGGCCATCAGGAGCATCAGTCTGATGGAGGCCCCGCCCACGGCGGTGTCTGAGCTCAGAGCCAGCTGGGCGACGGCCTCGTTGAGCAGCAGCAGGACGGATTCATCGCTCTGATTGGACAAAAAGTCTCTGCAGAAGGAAAGACTTCCTGGTTAGAAGAGATACTCTGATGGATCCGAGGTCAACATCTGGAAGTTTAAAACAACCAGGAAATCAGGTCTGTGTTTCTACGCTCCGCTCTCCTTCAAAACGACTTTAACACACATCTGATGGTGATTAATACGGAAGAGGATTAGGGCCACTGAAAAAATAAAAAGTTAACTGATTTTTTAATTTTATTTTAGAATAATATGAAAAAAAAGTCAGAATTCTGACTTTTTTCTCACAATTCTCTACATTAAGATCCACAATTCTGAGATTAAAATCAGAATTCTGACATTTTTCTCAAAATTCTGACTTTAATCTTAGAATTCTGACTTTTTTTCTCAGAATTCTAAATTTTTTTTCTCACAATTCTGACTTAAATATCAGAATTCTTACTCTTATCTACATTTCTCTACATCAAGATCCTAAATTCTAAGATTAAAGTCAGAATTTTGAGAAAAATGTCAGAATTCTGAGGAAAAAAATTCAGTTTAATCTTAGAATTCCGACTTTTTTTCTCAGAATTCTGACTTTATTCTCAGAATTTTGGATCTTGATGTAAAGAAATGTAGATAAGAGTAAGAATTCTGATATTTAAGTCAGAATTGTGAGGAAAAAAAAGTAGAATTCTGAGAAAAAAAAGTTGGAATTCTGGCTTTTTCCCCATATTTAACTGAAATACAATTTAAAAATCAGTTAAGTTTTTTTTCCAGTGGCCCTAATCCTCTTCCGTAGATTCTAAACTCTCTGAGGGTAAAAACCTCTAAACTGACACCTGATACCTGTTGACTGTACAGGAGTGAATCCACATCTGGATGCAGAGCAGACACACGCTGACATCATCACTCATCTGGATCTGCTCATAGTGGGCGGAGCTGAGGACTGCGGACAAAGGAGACAATAAAAAGCAACAACACAACTATTGAAGTGGATGAATCTGGATTAGATGAGGCAGAGGCCGGGTGAAACGGACCCTGAGGGGTGAGGTGGGGGTGAGCCGAGAGAAGCCAGCTGACAGAATCCATCACCTTCCTGAAGAGAGACGGACTCTGGGAGAAAAACCAAACCAGAGGAGTAACAGACAGTTTCCACCTCATCTCACCACACTGTACCGCTCACCTCCGATGAACTCATCAGCTGACCGGCCAACGACAGCAGGGCGTCCATGACTGATGGCAGGAACAGCCTATGGAACGCCTCGGATCGGCTGCCTGGCTCCGCCCCCACACAGCTGGAGCTGCAGCAGAGAAAGAGGAGGGACGGTTACACAGAACATCTCTTTAAAAACAGATTTTTACAGAAGGGGATTAGGGCCAGTGGAAATATTTAAAAAATGTTAAGAGATTTTTAAATATTATTTCAGTTTAATATTATAATATTAAGTCCTTCATTTATTTGTGTATTTATTTTTAATTACGACAGGATTGGTCCTCCATACTTATATAGATAGTTAAAGGTTTTAAATATTATGTTTAACTGTTGCCATCAAAGTATCTGTAGATATTTAAATCTATTATTAACTTGGAAAAATCTACGGAAGAGGATTAGGGCACTGAAAAAAAAGGTAACAGATTTTTTAATATTATTTCAGTTTAATAAGAGACAAAGTCAGAATTCTGACTTTTAAAAAACTTTATATTTTTAGATGAATAATTGATCAATTGATGAAGAAATGTCTTATTAATATTATTTTGTCACATTTAATGGCACAAATTCATATTATTAGCTACCTTTTCAAGCAATTTTATATTATTAAGTCATTCTTTTATTTCTGTGTGTATTTTTATTACGGCAGGATTGGTCCTCCATACTTATATAGATAGTTAAAGGTTTTAAATATTATGTTTAACTGTTGCCATTAAAGTATCTGCAGATATTTAAATCTATTATTTACTTGTAAAAATCTAGGGAAGAGCATTAGGGCCACTGAAAAAAATATTAAAAAGTTAACAGATTTTTAAACATTATTTCAGTTTAATAAGAGACAAAGTGAGAATTCTGACTTTAATCTCGGAATTCTGATTTTTGTTTTAGTTAAAACCTCGTCTCATAATATTACAACTTTATTCTGATAATGCTAAGACTTTATTCCGGACTTTATTCTCTTTATATTAGAGGGGGTGACCTCTACCTGGTGAGGTGGGCCAGCCTTGCAGCAGCCGCCCAGCTCCCCCTCAGCCTGCTGGGACCCAGAGAGAGGACCTGGACGCAGTGACTCAGCACCCCGCTGTCATATAAGCGAGCCTTGGCTCCAGCCAAGTCTCTGCTGGGTTTCTGCAGGGCTGCAGAGTTCAGAACCTCTGAGAGAAGAAGAAGAAAATCAGAACCAGTGGAACCAGAGCCGTCCATCCCACAGAGGATCCATCTCACTGTTTAAAGCATCGATCAGGAGGCTGATCTTCTCCTCTGGGCTCAGAGCTTCATTCTCTAACTGCATCTTCAGCTCTGACGTCACAGCTTCTTCATCCTCCATCACACCAGACCTCAGATGGACCTAAAAACCAGGCAGGCTTTAGAATCAGAGCTAAAGCTAATCAGTCATCATCTCTGCCTCCAGATGAGATTCAGGGGAAAATATATTTCCTCTGCTAAAGCTTCTGGTTTCTGCACAGCCTCACCTGCCCAAAGCGGACCAAGCAGCTTCCTGAAGGGTCACATGTGTCTCTGAAACACCTGTTAGCTTTAGCAGCGCTCTACTTTCACACCAAGTTCCTCACTAAATAACAAAATAGTTTCGATTCTGTGACATGACGCGTCGCTTTAAATCATCTCCGCCGTCATTTAATGCCTCATTTATTAAGAAAAAACACACAGCTAAACTCCAAACATCACGCTTCCTACAGAGTTAGCCCGCAGCTAACACCTAGCTCAGCGGCAGAGGCGAGGCGACGCGCTTTGTTTCCAGGGTAACCTGACGTCATCAGGGCGCGACAGCAGAGAGCTCCTTTCCTGAACAAAGGAGCGATTTCTCCAGCCATAACATTTTATTGGAGCCGTTATATCCCAGATATTCACTGGAAAACTGTTTGGATGATCCCCCATAAATATTTAATTATAAACAAGGTGAAGGAAGTGTCATTTAAAATTCTCCATAAAATTTACCCTGCTAAACATTATATGATAAAATATAAACGCGACATAAACACCAATTGCACTTTCTGTGAGGACCATCCAGAAACTGTGACACATCTTTTTTGGCTCTGCCCTGTTATACAAAGGTTTTGGTCTGAATTTAGCAGGTTTATTACTGACCATATCTTAAACAATTTTTCTTTATGCTGGGAAAATGTTTTATTTTGTTTCTATAGATTTCATAGAAAGGTTGCTGATCATTTCTTTATAATAAACTTACTAATACTCTTTGCTAAATATTATATTCATAAATGCAAGTTTGCTAATAGGACACCTTGTTTTTCTTTGTTCATTAAAGATATGGCTCTATATGTCAAATCAATAACAGACTCTACAAATCAAAAGGCTCAAAGGACAATCTCGATATGTACGTCTTTGCATGTTCTTATCTAATCACCCCTGGTTGTATTGCTTGAATGTTGTATTGTTCATTATACTGTTTGTTGTATACTAATTTCATTTAAATAAAGTTCATTGGAAAAAAAAAAAAAAAAAAAAAACAAAGGAGCGATTTCTACCTGCTGGATTTGAACGCGAATTCAAAGAAAATGACTTTTATATTTATTTAAGTACGGAAGACGATTAGGGCCACTTTGAAAATAAAAAAAGTTAACTAATTTTAAAATTTTATTGCAATATAATATAGGAAAAAGGTCAGACATCTGAATTTTCTCCCATATTATAGCGAAACAAAATAAAAAAATCATTTTTTATTTTTTCAGTGGCCCTAATCCTCTTCCGTATTTAAGAAACGTTTCTGTAGGAGAAGCAAATCATGTATATTTTTGTGTTGAGACGTTTAGTTTTGTTTCTAAAAGCTTCCCGTTCCACCGCGCTTTATGACGGAATCTCATGGTGCATTCAAATGCAGTTAGAAAACTGCCATAAATAGAAAGATGATAATTAAAGTGTTTTTTATATTTATTGTTATTCAACACTTTTTCTATATTTTCAAATAGTTCCATTGATTAAAAAGATTAAAGTTTTGAGAAAGTTTGAACAAAATCTTGATTTATGCTTTTAAAAAACACGTTTAAAACTGTAATCATCTTTTTTTTTTTTTTTGCAGAACTGACCAGATAGACAGCGACATCTTTCCATTTTTTTTAACTTATCTTTATCCACAAACATTCTTTGAGTTCTTGGTTTCCCATATTTTCCTCAGTTAATAAAATCATTCTTCACCAATTTATCTTAATCTTTTACTAAATGTTGAATACATTCATACAGCGAGCTAATGGTGATCCTTTGTATCTTGTGTTCAGTTATACGATCAGATTAATCCCACTTTTTATATTTGGCTTTTCTCGTTTTGACACATTTGTACAGAAGATGATTAGGGCCACTAGAAAAAAAGTTAACTGATTTTTAAATATTATTTAAGTTTAATGTGGGAAAAAAGTCAAAATTCTGACTTTAATCTCAGAAATCTGACTGAATTCTGAAAGCTAACAAATGTTAGCATCAAGTCATAGCCATGCCTATAGACTAAACTAGCTCTCTTGTTTTAAATATTATAATCCTCTTCCATACTGTTGTTTGTTTTTCAGTTAGTTCTTTGAATAATGAATGTCCATGTTTAAGTCAAAGAGGTTGGAAAATCATCTATTTTGGTCATTTCTATTAAAAACCAACTATTGCAGCTAAAAACCATAAAGTTGAATTTAAATAATGGATACGTTTAATAGGAATATTGAAAAGGAGCGGCTAATATTCAGTCCTGTGGGAGATAATCGGATTGAACTCTAGTTGTTTGAGATCTGATGGAGACAAAGCATTTCCCAGAAACCATCAGTGTGAACTGATGATGCTCAAGATGAGAGGAATCATTCATGGTCCTGTTGATAAAGTAAGAGCTAAAAACATTTCCTCTATGGAAGGCAGAGCAGATAATCATTACCTTCCTGTCCGCGTACCAGGAAGTGTTCAGTAGAAGAGCTAAGTCCATTAATGCAATTAGTTTGGTTTTTTTAAAGTGTTCAAAGTGAGATTATTGAACATTTGCAAACAAACTTCCCCTAAACAATTTGCCTCCAACAGAGATGAGATCCAACACTGTAGATCATTCTGGAAACTTATTGGAATGATGTGGTGACTGGGTTCATATATGAGGATAGAGAAGAATAAACTCAGGCCAATGCAGCCGAGAGGCTCTGCTGAATCAGTGATGATAACATCCTCACTGGATCAGCCCCCCCTTCAGTGTCCACCATATTGGATCAGTCCATTTGCTGAACAAACCATGCAAAGAGCAGTGTTGCCAACTTAGCGCTTTAGTCGCTGTATTTAGCCACTTTTCAGACCCCTCTAGCACTTTGATTTCTAAAAAGCTCCTAGCGCCAAATCTAGAGACTTTTTTCTGCTTCTGAAGACTTTGGAGACAACATCTAAAAGCAGCGAACTCTGCTCTCCAGAGCGAGTAGATTGGTAACCCCGCCTCCTGCTCTCCTCTATCTTAAAGTCAGAATTCTGCGATTTTTTTATTATTTAAACTAATCAAGCTTATTAACTAAGTAGCAGTACACAAAGACTAATGGGCTTTTCTGGAAGGTGAGTCTTAGAGCAGCCGGGGGTAAAAGCTCAGGTACAGCAGAGAGGATGCTTTCCTTCCCCTTAAACAGCTGATCCATTGCTACTTTATTCCCTGGTTTGCCCTCATGAACCTCCACCGCAGGAAGAGCTTCACTAGCCGGAATCGGCATCTTCTTGACCGGAGAGCAGTGCTGCAGTCTCTTTGAGACTTTGTCAGAATTTTGAGAAAAAGGTCAGAATTCTGAGGAAAAAAGTCAGAATTTTGAGAAAAAAAGTCAGAATTCTAAGAAAAAAAAGTCAGAATTCTAAGAAAAAAAGTCAGAATTTTGGGAAAAAAGACAGAATTTTGAGGAAAAAGTCAGAATGCTAAGAAAGAAAAGTCAGAATTCTAAGAAAAAAAGTCAGAATTTTGGGAAAAAAGTCAGAATTTTGAGGAAAAAAAGTCAGAATTCCGAGGGGAAAAAAATCAAAATTCTGAGGGAAAAAAAATCAGAATTTTAAGAAAAAAAGTCAGAACTGTAAGAAAAAATGTCAGAATTCTAAGAAAAAAAGTCAGAATTCTGAGGAAAAAAAGTCAGAATTCCGAGGGGGAAAAAAATCAAAATTCTGAGGAAAAAAAAAATCAGAATTTTAAGAAAAAAAGTCGGAACTGTAAGAAAAAAAAAGTCAGAATTCCAAGAAAAAAAGTCAGAATTCTAAGAAAAAAAGTCAGAATTCTGAGGGAAAAAAAAATCAGAATTTTAAGAAAAAAAGTCGGAACTGTAAGAAAAAAAAAGTCAGAATTCCAAGAAAAAAAGTCAGAATTCTAAGAAAAAAAGTCAGAATTCTGAGGAAAAAAAAATCAAAATTCTGAGGAAAACAAAAACAGAATTTTAAGAAAAAAAAGTCAGAACTGTAAGGAAAAAAAAAGTCAGAATTCTAAGAAAAAAAGTCAGAATTTTGGGAAAAAAGACAGAATTTTGAGGAAAAAGTCAGAATGCTAAGAAAGAAAAGTCAGAATTCTAAGAAAAAAAGTCAGAATTTTGGGAAAAAAGACAGAATTTTGAGGAAAAAGTCAGAATGCTAAGAAAGAAAAGTCAGAATTCTAAGAAAAAAAGTCAGAATTTTGGGAAAAAAGTCAGAATTTTGAGGAAAAAAAGTCAGAATTCCGAGGGGGAAAAAAAATCAAAATTCTGAGGGAAAAAAAATCAGAATTTTAAGAAAAAAAGTCAGAACTGTAAGAAAAAAAAAGTCAGAATTCCAAGAAAAAAAGTCAGAATGCTAAGAAAGAAAACTCAGAATTCTAAGAAAAAAAGTCAGAATTTTGGGAAAAAAGACAGAATTTTGAGGAAAAAGTCAGAATGCTAAGAAAGAAAAGTCAGAATTCTAAGAAAAAAAGTCAGAATTTTGGGAAAAAAGTTAGAATTTTGAGGAAAAAAAGTCAGAATTCCGAGGGGAAAAAAATCAAAATTCTGAGGAAAAAAAAAAATCAGAATTTTAAGAAAAAAAGTCGGAACTGTAAGAAAAAAAAGTCAGAATTTTAAGAAAAAAAAATCAGAATTCTGAGGGAAAAAATCAGAATTTTAAGAAAAAAAGTCAGAACTGTAAGAAAAAAAGTCAGAATTCTAAGAAAAAAAGTCAGAATTCTGAGGAAAAAAGACAGAATTTTGAGGAAAAAGTCAGAATTCTAAGAAAGAAAAGTCAGAATTCTAAGAAAAAAAGTCAGAATTCTGAGGAAAAAAAATCAAAATTCTGAGGAAAACAAAAACAGAATTTTAAGAAAAAAAGTCAGAACTGTAAGAAAAAAAAAGTCAGAATTCTAAGAAAAAAAAGTCAGAATTCTAAGAAAAAAAGTCAGAATTTTGAGGAAAAAAAGTCAGAATTCCGAGGGGAAAAAAAAATCAAAATTCTGAGGGAAAAAAAATCAGAATTTTAAGAAAAAAAGTCAGAACTGTAAGAAAAAATGTCAGAATTCTAAGAAAAAAAGTCAGAATTCTGAGGAAAAAAGACAGAATTTTGAGGAAAAAAAAAATCAAAATTCTGAGGAAAAAAAAATCAAAATTCTGAGAAAAAAAAAAAGTCAGAATTCTAAGAAAAAAAGTCAGAATTCTAAGAAAAAAAAGTCAGAATTCTAAGAAAAAAAGTCAGAATTTTGGGAAAAAAGACAGAATTTTGAGGAAAAAGTCAGAATGCTAAGAAAGAAAAGTCAGAATTCTAAGAAAAAAAGTCAGAATTTTGGGAAAAAAGTTAGAATTTTGAGGAAAAAAAGTCAGAATGCTAAGAAAGAAAAGTCAGAATTCTAAGAAAAAAAGTCAGAATTTTGGGAAAAAAGTCAGAATTTTGAGGAAAAAAAGTCAGAATTCCGAGGGGAAAAAAATCAAAATTCTGAGGAAAAAAAAAAATCAGAATTTTAAGAAAAAAAGTCAGAACTGTAAGAAAAAAAAAGTCAGAATTCTAAGAAAAAAAAAATCAAAATTCTGAGGGAAAAAAAATCAGAATTTTAAGAAAAAAAGTCGGAACTGTAAGAAAAAAAAGTCAGAATTTTAAGAAAAAAAAATCAGAATTCTGAGGGAAAAAATCAGAATTTTAAGAAAAAAAGTCAGAACTGTAAGAAAAAAAGTCAGAATTCTAAGAAAAAAAGACAGAATTTTGAGGAAAAAGTCAGAATTCTAAGAAAGAAAAGTCAGAATTCTAAGAAAAAAAGTCAGAATTCTGAGAAAAAAAAAAATTAAAATTCTGAGGAAAACAAAATCAGAATTTTAAGAAAAAAAAGTCAGAACTGTAAGAAAAAATGTCAGAATTCTAAGAAAAAAAGTCAGAATTCTGAGGAAAAAAGACAGAATTTTGAGGAAAAAAAAAATCAAAATTCTGAGGAAAAAAAAATCAAAATTCTGAGAAAAAAAAAAAGTCAGAATTCTAAGAAAAAAAGTCAGAATTCTAAGAAAAAAAAGTCAGAATTCTAAGAAAAAAAGTCAGAATTTTGGGAAAAAAGACAGAATTTTTGAGGAAAAAGTCAGAATGCTAAGAAAGAAAAGTCAGAATTCTAAGAAAAAAAGTCAGAATTTTGGGAAAAAAGACAGAATTTTGAGGAAAAAGTCAGAATGCTAAGAAAGAAAAGTCAGAATTCTAAGAAAAAAAGTCAGAATTTTGGGAAAAAAGTCAGAATTTTGAGGAAAAAAAGTCAGAATTCCGAGGGGAAAAAAAAATCAAAATTCTGAGGGAAAAAAAATCAGAATTTTAAGAAAAAAAGTCAGAACTGTAAGAAAAAAAAAGTCAGAATTCCAAGAAAAAAAGTCAGAATGCTAAGAAAGAAAAGTCAGAATTCTAAGAAAAAAAGTCAGAATTTTGGGAAAAAAGTCAGAATTTTGAGGAAAAAAAGTCAGAATTCCGAGGGGAAAAAAATCAAAATTCTGAGGAAAAAAAAAAATCAGAATTTTAAGAAAAAAAGTCGGAACTGTAAGAAAAAAAAGTCAGAATTTTAAGAAAAAAAAATCAGAATTCTGAGGGAAAAAATCAGAATTTTAAGAAAAAAAGTCAGAACTGTAAGAAAAAAAGTCAGAATTCTAAGAAAAAAAGTCAGAATTCTGAGGAAAAAAGACAGAATTTTGAGGAAAAAGTCAGAATTCTAAGAAAGAAAAGTCAGAATTCTAAGAAAAAAAGTCAGAATTCTGAGGAAAAAAAAATCAAAATTCTGAGGAAAACAAAAACAGAATTTTAAGAAAAAAAGTCAGAACTGTAAGGAAAAAAAAAGTCAGAATTCTAAGAAAAAAAAAATCAGAATTCTGAGGGAAAAAAATTAGAATTTTAAGAAAAAAAGTCAGAACTGTAAGAAAAAATGTCAGAATTCTAAGAAAAAAAGTCAGAATTCTGAGGAAAAAAGTCAGAATTCCGAGGGGGAAAAAATCAAAATTCTGAGGAAAAAAAAAAATCAGAATTTTAAGAAAAAAAGTCGGAACTGTAAGAAAAAAAAGTCAGAATTTTAAGAAAAAAAAATCAGAATTCTGAGGGAAAAAATCAGAATTTTAAGAAAAAAAGTCAGAACTGTAAGAAAAAAAGTCAGAATTCTAAGAAAAAAAGTCAGAATTCTGAGGAAAAAAGACAGAATTTTGAGGAAAAAGTCAGAATTCTAAGAAAGAAAAGTCAGAATTCTAAGAAAAAAAGTCAGAATTCTGAGGAAAAAAAAATCAAAATTCTGAGGAAAACAAAAACAGAATTTTAAGAAAAAAAGTCAGAACTGTAAGGAAAAAAAAAGTCAGAATTCTAAGAAAAAAAAAATCAGAATTCTGAGGGAAAAAAATTAGAATTTTAAGAAAAAAAGTCAGAACTGTAAGAAAAAATGTCAGAATTCTAAGAAAAAAAGTCAGAATTCTGAGGAAAAAAGACAGAATTTTGAGGAAAAAAAATCTAAATTCTGAGGAAAAAAAAATCAAAATTCGGCCCTCATCTCTTCCCTATGGGTCTAATCCTCTATAGAGCGCCTCGAACAGTCAAATATCTGCCTGTTGTTTCCATCTTTATCCAGTAGATGGCAGTGCAGCTGCAGCAGAGCGCATTAGGCAGCAGCCTCTCTGCTCTCCTAAAGCTTTCTCTGCTGTTTCCATCCTTCAGTTCGGATCTCAGCACCTTGTTTGTGTCACATTAACCTCATATGTTTGATTATAGTTTATTTCTCTGCTTAAAGTAACTTATTTACAATAAAACAGGAAATAAACTGACACATCCTGCTGAGCAATGAACTAAAAATGAGCCTCAAAGCTCCTATAAAGGCTCCCTATGTTGATAGTAACGCTGGTAACGTGTAGTAACGGCTGCAGGTGGTGTGTGTGTGTGTGTGTGTGTGTGTGTGTGTGTGTGTGTGTGTGTGTCGGTGCGCAGCAGATGCTGCAGCGCCTCTCCACCTCCAATGCGCCTGCGTGCTGGAGCGCACCGAGCGGCCGCAGGAGACACCGAGAGGGGAGACCCGGCCTGCCTGCCTGCCTGCCCGGGCTCCACGGTACCAGGAACGGCACCAGGAACGCTCCCACTGACGGTGACGTGATGTGATGCGATGCTGCGCGGGATCACGGTAACGTAAGAGCAGCAGGAGGAGCAGGCGGAGCAGGAGGAGCACTGACGGCCTGATCGGTACCGGGAGGAGAGGAACGCTTCCGAGCCGCGCACCGGAGCCCGCTGCTGGTACCGACCCGATCTGATGTGAGGCTGCGGGGATGGAGGGGTAGGCAGGGAGGAGGCGAGAGGAGCGGAGCGACCGACGGAACATAACGGAGGAGAGAGGAGGAGCAGGAGGAGGAGGAGGATGAATCCAGCAGAAGGAGGAGGAGAAGCGGGCCAGGACGGCCTGGCGACCGCAGGTGGGGTGTGAGCGCGTGCGTATGGGCGCGTGCATGCGAGAGTGTCGCCATGATGCTCCAACATCCGCCCATTCATGGACTCTGTGTGTGTGTGTGTGTGTGTGTGTGTGAGTGTGTGTGTCCCTTCAGCACCACTGAGGCGCGTGCATGTGCACATCCACGCGTGAGTGAGTGTGTATTGGGGGTGGAGGGTCCGATCAAGGAGGATTGTGGGAAGGCCCCACTGGCTCTCTGAGCATGTGTGTGATGTAATGTGATGTGTATTCATTTCTTTTTTTTTTTGTAAAGGCAGAACTTGCAGCCCCCCCCCCAGAACCCCCCTTTAGGGGTCCTGGGGGGGTCCTGATCAGCTGTCACAGTGGATCAGTCCATTATAATCTAGATTTATATCAGGATCAAACCCAGAAAACAGGACAAATCAGACTGATTTCTATTGAATTATTTAATAAATAAAGGACCGACTACAGGAAGCGTTTATCGCCTCTGCTATCCATGCATCTGTGCAGATTTACCCCCCCATAATGACTGTAGGGCGGTGTGCACACCTTACAGGTATCTATGCAACGTACAGACTGTTCTTTGCTGCTAGAAGAAGTATAGATGTACAGTCAACCTCACATTGCCAGGGGCAGATTTAAGAAATTTAAGGCCCTAGGCAAAGACAGGCAGGGGCCCCTCTGAATGGGACAGGCCAAAGTAAATAACCCAGTCCTTCTTTTCACTGTAGACAAGCCATGATCTGCTTATCTGTTCTCCATTTTTCATTTGGATGAAATAATAGCTGCATGAATCATGACAGCAGACAAGATAGAGGAGAGCAGGAGGCGGGGTTACCAATCTACTCGCTCTGGAGAGCAGAGTTCGCTGCTTTTAGATGTTGTCTCCAAAGTCTCCAGTAGCAGAAAAAAGTCTCTAGATTTGGCGCTAGGAGCTTTTTAGAAATCAAAGTGCTAGAGGGGTCTGAAAAGTGGCTAAATATAGCGACTAAAGCGCTAAGTTGGCAACACTGCTCTTTGCATGGTTTGTTTTCAAATGGTTTGCTGCTGTCTGTTTGGACCTTTCTGAACATGTGCAGCAAATGGACTGATCCAATATGGTGGACACTGAAGGGGGGAGGGACTGATCCATAATAAGGAATAGTTGTATTAGACAGAGTTGAAGGGGCCTCCAGGAACTTGGGCCCCTAGGCGACTGCCTAGTATTGCCTAATGGTAAACCGCCCTCCTGCACATCGCATTCTTTACCACTTTAGGCTATTTTCTATGGATTTCAAGAACTAAACCAACACAAAATAATGAATCATTGTGAATTTGAAGCCAAATGATGTTTGGTTTTAACTCACTTTACTAATTAAAAGGATGAACCGAACCATTAGTCCAGGATTCTTACCATATAAGCTGTAACACGGTGGTGGTGACATCATGCTGCGGGGATTTTTCTAACTTCTGCAGAGAGAGAGAGGGAGGTCAGAGTTCATGTCGAGATTAATGGAGAGATCCAATATTTACCAGGTTGGTTTATGATAGAACACCTGAATTAAAGACGTTGATGTTTGTTTGTGACTCGATGAAATGTGAATAAAATGACTGTAATCCAGTCAGGTTGAGCTCTAGGATGGAGGTCGGGTCTCTAATTAACTCCGTTTCTTTGTATAAATTCAAAAATGTCAAAAACATTTGGGCGAATGGTTGTATTGATTAGAGAAGCAGCCATGTTTTACATCAGGGCGGAAGGGACCGGTGGCGTCTAATTAATGAGGCGTCAGAGGACTCATTATCAGCTGATTAAAGCAGACAGTCTTTCTGTTTCCCTCTTTATGAGTTATTGTTTTTCACTCGGAGATTATTCATGTAAAACAAAATAAAGGGGAAAAAAACTATTTTGGATTCCAGGTCAGTAGATTGAGAGGAAAATAAAATCAAAACATATTTAGAAAGTTTTTTTGTTTTCAGGTATTAATGAGGAAACAGAACAATGGAAGAATCAAAGTCAGTAAAAAGCTGTTGATTATTTTCACAATAAAAGAAAAAAAGCAGGAAGTAATTGGTCAGAAAATATTAAAACAAACATTTTTCAGTTTTTTCATTCTAATTTTAACGTTTGAAGTTCATTTTGTTTTTTTTAGATAGTGTATTTCTGCTAATTATGACAAAAATTATACTTTGATGATGCTTCTTGGCAGAATTAGGAGAGTTCCTTAAAGTTAGACGGTTTCCTGCCTCTGGTTTGACTCTAAAGCATCCTCCCTACGTTTTAACATCCAAGAACCAGTTAGAACTGGTTTCCGGGTTTGTTTTCCTGTTGGAATATTCAGCTGGATCCTAGTATTGAACCTGATTCCTCATATGAACTGTTTTCCAGTGTAGTCCTGTTTCTCTGACTGTGACTAACTGGATGTGCTCTCTTCATCCTCTGACATGGGAGCTGGCTCGGAGCTCGTCTGCCTGGCTGTGTGTTTCCTGGACGGGGCCGCCTGTGGAGCTGGTTGACAGTTGCCTTTTGTATCTATGCTTCTTTTTCTATGTCTGCTTCTGTCTCCTTGAACCCCAGTGGGCCTCAGCAGATGGCCGCTCACACTGAGCCTGGTTCTGCTGGAGGTTTCTTCCTGTTCAAAGGGAGTTTTTCCTCTCCACTGTCACAATGATCTGATGAACTATAAAGTGACCTGAGATGACATGATGTGAATTGGTGCTATAGAAATAAACTGAATAGAATTGAAATCAAACCTCACCTCAGCCCAATGTCTCATGGAGAAAAGTTTTATTGTCGTTGGAGGAAAACCTAAAGCTGTTTTCTTCCCAACCAGACAATTCAAAGCGAGACTTTGATACCTAACAACACGCTGCCAGCTGCCAAGCACGGTGGCGGAAGCATCATGCTGCGGGACTGGTGCATAACCCAATGCAGATAGGATAAAAAAACAAGGAGGACCACCTCAACAGTCTGGCAGTGTGTTTCTAGATGGTTGAACCTTGTTGGTGGTTCCAGCAGCACAGAGGAACGTCACTGATAGGCAACATGTCTGGAGGGATGGATTTAAATCGTTACTGAGGACATCTTTTTCAGTATGTAAGGTTTGGGTTCGAGGGGATTGAAGAAAATCCATCATAAAGCTGAGACTTTTTCAGATTACACACTGGTTTACCATTTCCAACCAATACCAATGCTGAGGTGGAGGCATTTCTGGCAAGAAAAAAGGTTCAAATCTATTTAACATCCTCAGACGGAGAGATAGAACTCTGACTGAAGCAACCTCCCTACAAACATTTATACTTTACAAAAATCCCAACACACACACTTCCCCCAGGTAGGGCTGCAACTAACGATTATTTTAAAAATCGATGAATCGGCCGATTATTTTTTCGATTAATCGATGAATTGGACAAAAAATATTTTTTATATTAACCTCTTTATTCCAAAATAAACATTTTAAACAGAACAAACAAGCACACAAGTACAGGTTGCTCATTAACTGTACTGGTGCAATATGAAAAATAAATGTTTGAGTTGAAACTACGCAAACTTACATGAGAAATGTAGCTGTACATCCACAAAATATAGGCTACTTTGTTTCATAAAGTGCAAAAAAAGACATTTTTGTTTTTAAAGCCCCTAAGGGGTTCAAACAATAGGTCCCCCCATTTCAACAAATGAGGTTTTTTTAGACTAGAAGAGTTCTGCCTTTTAAGATAGGAAAGTATAGCAGTTAAAGTTGCTACTTGAGAAAAAACTGAACCATAGAGATAAAAATAGCCCTGTGATTCAAATTATAAATTGTATTTGGAATAAAAATGAGAGAACTAGGGGTGCTAAAAAACCCATCCTCCAAAGACAGATATTTACATGGGAATGTGGCAGATAATTAATTGACATATTACTGATCTTGCTGGATTTTATTCTGCTTTACTTCCATAAATTGCAGGATCTTCTTTACTTTATCTTTGCCAGAAGATATAAACTTTAAAAGCCTTGCCCTCATAATTTGCAAGTTAATTTATTTATAAAGAAAATATAAACGCTGCTTAAGCTAATTCAAATGAAATTAAAAGTAAAATAAGTAGCCAACCTTATCACTGTCTGTAACCTACTAACACAGTAAGGAAAGCATCAGATGAGCTACCTGAGAAACTAACGTTACGTTTCCCCACTTTAAAACCAAACAAACATGGCCGCTCACCCTGCTGATCAGCTCTCTTCACTGCCATCAAAGGCTCCAACGTGTTTCCTTTTCAGGTGCTGCATCATCACAGCGGTGCTTCCGTGCCATGTTAATTTGTTTTTACAAAAGTTGCATGTTACGACTTTTTTCCCTTCACAAAGCGCAGGCTGTTTTAATTATTGTGATCAATTTGCGCCGTCAATCCCGGCGCATGCGCGCTTCATTTGCAGTCTGGACGCTGAGGGTAAACATCCTGCGGCTCTGACTGCAGCGCTGAGAGGGACTCCTGCAGGAGCGGGGTTGGGATGGGGGAGGCGCCCCACGGCAATGACGACGGCGGCGGATGACGCATTATTCGTGCGACACAACTAATCGATGATGAAATTCGTTGCCAACGCTTTTAAAAGTCGATTTTGATCGATTTTATCGATTCGTTGTTGCAGCCCTACCCCCAGGGGAACCAACCCACCCAATGCTTAAAGAACTTTCTCCCACTTGAACATTTGGAGGAAAAACAACTTGAGTTCATGAAGGCTGTTCCCTGTTAGGTTAATGTATAGACGGATCTTCTCTAAACATCTCATGACCTTCGTTTGGAGCCTGTGAGGCTAAGAACAGACATACCTCAACATTTTTTACTCCACACCAACAATATTTGATGTTGGAAACACTAAGACTGATCTAATCAGAGACACCAACATCCTGAATGAAGAATCCTTGGAATATTGAGCCATAGAATCCACCTTTTTCCCACAGAATGATTCCATATTTAATCAAAGTGTCGTCATCATGGAGCTCCCAGGCTCTCTGATTATAACAGCAGAGCTTATATAAACAGTCT